AGGGTTTCCTGCCTAGGCAGAGGGTTGGACTAGAAGACCTGCAAGGTCCCTTCCAACTCTGTTATTCTATTCTATATATTTATCCCAATGAGATTAGCTACAAATCAGGAAACTGTGAGTTCTACTCCTGCCTTGACATGAAGTCAGCTGGGTAGCCTTGGGTCAGTCATCAGGAGTAAAAAAAAAAAAAGTACAAGTGAGATAGGTTGTGCCATCAAACAGTAATTAGTTCAAAGGGAACTGATGATCTTTAGATACAGGTAAACTTCTATCTGAATGTTTTTAGTCAAAAAATATATTCTTGGTGATTCAACCACGATGGTAAACCTATTGGCTCAGCATGTCAAAAATTTAGAAAATGCTTAACTTCACTGGTGTTATATCACACACACAAAGACACATGCCTAAACACGGACATTGAACAAAAGAAAACAATTTTCTATCGCTTCCCTATCTAGGCCACTCTGAACAGTGGCACTCGGGAAGTGCCATTCCCCAAGATGCCTTGAGGAATAATGCAATTGTCCTGTGGCCCAGCACTCCCAAGATTCGCTGCATACCACTTACTTGCAGGCAAAAATGTGTATTGACGTTGTATTGACAGGCCCCTGTGGCTTACCTAAGGTTTATCTAGGTCACAATAAGCCTTCTCTCTTGATGTGGCTTTGGAGAATTCTCTTCTGCAGCCTCTGCAGTATCTGAAAACAGCACAAAAGCATGCCCTCTTCTCTCTCAATTTTCACATTATATGTTCAACCATCACTGATGTATAGAGTATCTTTTTGTTACTAATTTGTAAAAATGTAGTTTGAACAGCCTTATTTTTAAAGCTAGCAAAATGCTTATAATCATCCTCATTTTCTTGATGACAATGGCCGAAATTATTCAAATTACATATTTCTGAATTGCATGAATATCTTCTATGTGAAATACTGTCCTTTCCAAAGTAGCATGCTCTTTCATTTTGAATGCACCAAACCCTTCCTCTTTGAAGTTCCCATCCTGCTTGCTCTGGTGGTGATATTGCACATTATTAAGTTGCATGTTGTCACGGCTTCAGTGCAATTTAGTGTGTGTGATATTTTCACATGAGTGCATGCACACAGGCTGTTTGTTAAAATTCTTGAAGGTTATGTTTCTTGATAGAGGATAATTAATTTTGGAAAATATTTATTATTTTGGCCTGGAAATTGTTAACTGTTGCTCAAGAGTAATTTCTGTTTAAGAACTTTTTTTTTGTTAATTTGTTCCATTTTTTCCATATTAATCACAAATAATTATGTTTAATGATATGAGTGGTCTTTTAGCTGTAGATGTTTGATTGGTTGGGTTTTGTTTGAAAAAAATCAACCACAGATACTAATATCACTAATAGTCAAGTTTCTTTTCCAAAACAACTTGATTTTTATTCTGTAATTCTAAACATTGCATCCAAAACAGAATTTAACAATGATGAAGTTAAACCTCCAGTGATGAAGTGCCCATGATTTCTGAAGGCAAGCTGTTTCATTGATTAATTGTTCTCACTGTTAGGAAGTTTCTCCTTAATTCCAATTTGCTTCTCTCCTTGCTAAGTTTCCATCCATTGTTTCTTATCCTGTTCTCTGGTGCTTTGAAAAGTATGTTGACGCCCTTCTCTTTGTGGCAACCTCTCAAATACTGGAATACTGCTTTCATGTGCCAAACCCAAATCCTGCAACTGTTCTTCATACGTTTTAGTCTCCAGGTCTTTAATCGTCTTAGTTGCTCTTTGCATTTTTTCCAGAATCTCAATTTTTTTTTTGTAATGTGACAGCTATGGTCTTGCTAAGGATTGATAAAGTGGTATTAATACTTCACGTGATTTTGATTCTATGCCTCTGTTTGTACAACCAAGCATTGTATTATTTTTTTTGACTGCTGCCGCATATTGCTAACTCAGGTTTAAGTGATCACCCACAAGGACTCTAAGGTCCCTCTCATAGTTACTGTTTTTGAGCCAGGTCTCATCTTATACCTTTGGTTTTTCCTGCCTAAATGTAAAACTTTGCTTTTCTACACATCAAAATTCCTTTTGTTGGATAGGGCCCATAGTTCAAGTATGTCAAGATCTTTTTGGATCCTGAGCTGGGCTTCTGGGATGTTGGCTATACCTGCAAACTTAATGTCATTTGCAAATTTGATGAGTTCCCCTTTCATTCCCTTATTTAAGTCATTTATGAAGATGTTGAAGGGCCTAACTGTAAAACCTTACTTTTATCTAACTTGAATGTCATTTTGTTAGATAGGGACCAATGTTCACGTCTGTCAAGATCTTTTTGGATTTTAAGCTTATCTTCTGGGGTGTTGGCTATTCCTACCACCTTAGTATCATCTGTAAATTTTATGAGATCCCCTTCAATACCCCGGTCTAGATTGTTTATGAAGATACTAAAGAGTATTGGTCTTAAAATGGAATTTGGGGTACCCCACTGCTTACTTCCCTCCATGTAGAAACCATTAAGAATTACTCATTGAGTACGGTTTGTCAGCCAGCTACAAATCCATCTGGTGGTGATGTTATCTATTCCACATTTTTATAGCTTACCAAGAAGTAGGTTGTTATCTACTTTGTTGAATGTCTTACTGAAATCTTAAGTATACCTTGTCGACAGTATTTTACTCGTCTACTAATTTAGTCACTCTATCAAAAACTGAAATAAGATTGGTTTGGTATGATCTATTTTTAACAAACCTGTACTGGCAACTAGTCATAACTTTGTTTCTAGATGTTCACAAATCTGTTTTTTTATTATTTTTACCAGGGTCTTCCCAGGTAATGTTGTTATGCTGATTGGTCTGTAGTTTTTTGGGTCTCATTTTTTTTCCTTACTTGAAGATGGGAACCACATGAGCCCTTTTCCAATCATGAGGTACTTCCCCAGTGTTCCAGGATTTTTGAAATATATGGTACAATGGTTCTGAAATAACATCTGCCAGCTTTTTCAGAACTCTGGAATGTAATCTGCCATGTCCCAGTGATTTATATTCGTCAAGATCTGATAGGTGTTCTCTTACCATTTTTGTACTTATTCTAATGTTTATTTCTTGTCTGTCTTTTATAATAGTTTTTGGATATGTTGGGCTATAGTTTCTTTTTGTGTGAAGACTGATGCAAAAAATGATTTAAGCAGCTCTGCTTTCTCCCTATTGCCTGTTATTTCCTTGCTATCTCTCTTTAATGGACCAACTGTTTCCTTGACATTTTTCTTATTATTAATATTTTAAATAAACTTTTTTTGTATCTTTAACTTTTGTTGCAAGTCTTTGTTTAATCTGAGCCTTTGATTTCCTGACTTCGTCTTTGCAGGTTCTGGCTATCTGCTGAAATTCTGCCTTAATTATATGTTCCTTTTTCCATTTTTTTGTACTTGTCTTTTTTTGTGTTTCAGTTTATTAAAGAGATCTTTGTGCAACCATGCTGGTTTGTTCTTGAATTTCTCGTTTTTCTTTTTCAGTGGTATTGTGATAGACTGGGCTTTTATGATCATATTTTTCAGAATGTCCCGCACTTCTTGAGTTGCTTTCCCCTTTAGGATTTTCATCCATGGAATCTTTCCTAGTCTCTCTCTCTCTCTCTCTCTCTCTCTTTAAAATCAGTTCTTTTATAGAGTAAGACACTGGTTGGATTATTGCTTGTATTTGTATTATATTGAATTCCAGTATGACACAGTCACTTTCACCCAAAGTTCTAACAACTTCAACTCCCTATAATTTCTTCTGTATTAGTAAAAATTAGCTTACTAATTCTTACAGTATACCTTTTCCTCTACTTCCCTCCTCTACCTTTTGGATGACAAAGTTGTCAGCTAGGTTGGTTAGGAATCTGTTTAATCTCCCACTGGCTACAGAGTTTGTCTCTCAGTTGATATCTGGGTAGTTAAAGTATGTAAAATATACAATATTGCTGGAATCCTTTTGCAGTACTACTAAACTTAATATGCTTTCCACAAATTAGAGTGGTTATGGTGCTTCTAGGTTTTTAAAAATATTTACAACATAAAAGTTAAATAAACATTATTACAATTGATAGAAAAGGGAGCACTACATAATTTCTTATTATTTATTGCAATGCTGATTACCAAAGTATTTGTTATATTAGAAAACTTTTAAAAGTTTAATTCTGTCATTTAAATTTATTGAACAGATTATATTCCATAGAGAAAAGTACCATGTAGTTATCACAGTACTTAAAAAGGATGTGTTGTTCCATTTCTGATTTTTAAATTGTTTAATTTTTATTTTTCACTATATCTATGCCAAATTGCAAACACTGTCTTGGTTCCTTCTGGATTCAGTAGTTTAAATATTATTTTATTCCTCATTTCTATTTAAAAGTTTCTACTATAAGGAATTAAAGGACTGATTAAAATGTGAGTCCTTTAAATGTATTTTTATCTTTTACATTTTTTTATTGCTTTTTAATTAATAACACCAAAAAAAGAAAAAAAAGAGCAAACGCAAAGGAAATGGTAATGGTGATGCATACATTGCCAAAAAAGAAAAAAATTAAAACATAAAACAGTCAGCAAAAGAGAACACATTTTATGTGTTCTTTTTTTGCTGACAATGAATTTATTTTTATTCATAAGCAAATGTATAGCAAATAGCTTTTAACTGGAAGGAATTGATAAGTACTTATTAGCAAAAGCAATAGCAGTAGAACTTAGACTTATATACCATTTCACCAATGCTTTACAGCCCCCTCTAAGCTGTTTACAGAGTCAGCATATTGCCCCCAACAATCTGGGTCCCCATTTTACCAATCTTGGAAGGATGGAAGGATGTGTCAATGTGGAAGTGGTGAGGCTCGAACTGCTGAACTGTTGGCAGCTGGTAGTTAGCAGAAGTAGCCTGCAGTATTGCATTCTAATCACTGCGCCAACACGGCTCTTATCTTACTTATTATCTAAGTAAACATTTATATTGCAGTCTGAGATAGCATTTTTACATGGCTTTTACATTCTTTTACATTCTTCCAGAGGGGTATTTGATGCATCTCTCAAAATGGCTGGGTTCTATGGCCTATATACCTGGCTGACTCATACCATCTTTGGAATAAACATTGTCTTCATTCCCTCAGGTGAGAACAATGTTTGAATGTTTGTGTTTATGTTAATATCTAACGATCATGTTCCATTTTGGTAAGTTTTAACATTTTATCTGAACTTTAGCATAATATTCAGTATTGAATCCTACATCATACAAAATATATAAATCCTTACATTAAGGAATAACAGAATAATAGAGTTAGAAGGGACTTTGGAGGTCTTCTAGTCCAGGGGTTGCCAAACTTTTGGACCCCAGGGACCACTAAACTCATAATTTTAAATCCTGGGGACCACTAATATGAATTTTGACTGACGGTGGCTTGCTGACGTTGGTGGGAGTGACATTTCTCTGCGGACCACCAAAATTTTCTCGGTCCGTTCCACTGGCTGGCGACCGCTGTTATAGTCCAACCCCTTGTTCAAGCAGGAAACTCGATATTGATCAGATGAAATCTGAATCTCTCCAATGATAGATAACATTCACCTTTTATCTGCTTAAACTATCAGACCCCATAACAACTGAAGTGATAAAAGTGCAAGAAAAAAAAGAATGTATTAGAGCAGTGTCGTTTGGTTCTAGCATGTATTTGAATAGCCACATCATACTTAAAAGCCTCTTGTCCTCTGGCTCTATGAAATAGGGTTTACTAGGCTCAGCTACTTGGAGTTTAAGAAGATATTAAAATACTTCTTTTCCTGGGTGCATATAAAACTGATTTAAAATAAATTCATATCTGCCTTTTAAAACATATGCAGGGTATTTTTATTCATTAGCAACAAAGTCCCCTTATATTAAGAGTAGTATCATTGTTTCAGTTGTTATTTTATTCTATTTTACTTAAAAGGGAAAAACTTTTTTTAAAAAAATTACCATTACAATTTCTTGGACCAGGGATCAACTGGGATAGGCTGGGGTTAAGTCAGGACAAAGATGTTCCCATAATTTTGTTCAGCTATTGATATCAAGAAAAGCAAAGACAGACCTTAAATGGAGAAGATCCTCTTCTTTCAGGCAGGGAGGATCCCTGTCAAGCATCAGCCTTCCCAAGACACTCAACACCAGAGAAGAGCACAGCAAAGGATCAGCACTGAGCTCATTGCCTGCAGCAGCAGCCTTAGGTCCTTGCAAGCTTCCTCACTAGAAGAGAGTCAAGAATCAAGAGTACTTATGGCAGAAATGTGTTTTTTTCCAAGCAATGTAATACACTACTAAACTTATTGAGATCTAATTCATCATGTTGATTTGAGCCATTCTCTTCGGATTTCTTAACTGTAATTGTAATTTTAAATATAAAAGATTGTAATGATTTCGTAGAGTTTCCTAGCAATTTCTTCCATTTTCTGATTAATGTCTCCTTTTTCATTTAATTATAGTTCAGGATCTATCAATGTAATTAAATCTCTTTATCCCCTTGATATGCATGTCAAAACGATTGTGATAACTCGGTGGTACAAGGTTGTCATAAAATAAAGCTTACTAGTAGAAGGGAAGTTCAACTAAGAAAGTCTAGACTCAATGGAATCATTTGTATCATCTGTGTGGAAAAATATAGAATTACAGAATAACAGTTTGAAGGGACCTTAGAGGTCTTCTAATCCAATACCCAGATAAAGCAGGAGACTCTATAATATTCCAGACTAAAGACTGTCCAATCTCTTCTTAAAAACCTCCAGTGAAGTTTTTAAAGAAAGAAAATAAAGGAATAAATAAATAAAAGAATTAAATTGGCTGCCTTTTTTACTGGTGAAAAGGTGTAGATATTTTTCAAAAAATACATAAAATATGGAGCAAACTTTTTAAAAGGAGAGAAATAATGTAGTCTTAGTTGCTAGCTGTCCCTTCTAGAATTGAGTCATATTTCAGAATTTCTTGGGATTCTTAACTCAAGGGAACTCCAAACTTTTCAGTCTGAGGACCATATTGGACATTTTGCAAACATTGAGGGCCAGGGGAAAAAAAATCAATTTTAAAAATAAGTGAATAAAATTTAATTGAACGTGTTTTATTTTGCTCAATGTGATATGATTCATAACAGTAGCAAAAAAGAAAGTGACAAAATATGAAAAAATGATGACATGCTTGCACAGATAAATGATACAAGAAAAATATCAGTCCTTAGTAAATACTCTGAAGAAATAACAAAGTAATCCAATCCTGGTTGGTAACTGGGCCAGGAGTTTACTCTTACAAGCTTTCATTCATTCCTAATAAATTAATAATTACAAATGAGAAAAGAAAGCTATTCTATTTGTCAATAAATTTTATTTACCTAAATTTTACAGATTTACATTAAATGAGAATCTGCCCAATGGTTGGAAATATTAAAGGGGAAGGTGCTTCCCCTTCCTCTTTAGCAACCATACAGCTGGCTCACAACCCTAGCGTCAGAGAAATAAAAAAAATTCCTACCTTCCTTTCCAAACAGTGGTGAACGCAGCAGCCCTGCTTTCTTTTCCTCTGCTATTTGGAAAGGATTGGAGCACAGCACATGGGATGAACTGGTGAAAGGAAGGAACCTTCCAGTCAGCCTGACGTAGCCCGTAGACTTCAGTTTGGAGACTCCTGCTTTAACTGAAGAAGCACCCAAAAGCACAAGGATTTGCAGAGGAGGAATGGGCAAGAGATTTCCATTATAACTATTCTTGTTCTGGTGCTGCCTTGAATATAAATTATGATCATCTAATTCAACTTGTAGCATTTTGTTACTTCTATCATAACTATTTCTCATGTAATATGGTACTAGGTTATGCTGTCTTAATTCTTGATTACTGATCCAGTAGCATTGAAATTCAAGATGTATCATACTTTGTTTTATAAGCAATGTAATTATAAACTCTTTTATCTTTCTTATATTCTATTTAAATTCCCTTTGAATTTAAATAGTGGTATGAGATATAAAGTTGCAAAATATTTGTGGAATTACATTCCTAAATAATTAATTGCAAACGTTACATTTTCTTTTCTAACTCCAAACCTCATCTCTTCTTAGCTCTGGCTGCTATTCTTGGAGTAGTTCCATTTTTGGGAACATACTGGGCAACTGCGCCTGCAGTTCTAGATCTTTGGCTTTATCAAGGAAAAGGATATAAAGCTATGCTTCTCTTCATTTGTCATCTATTGCCAACTTACTTTGTGGATACAGCAATCTATTTGGATATATCTGGGTGAATATTTTAATTTGTTTTCTTTACTATATTGAAAAAAATTCTAACAGGTCAATCAATGTCCAGAAATATTTAGATGAATTATTTATGTCAATATTGGTTTCTTTATTAAACATAACGTTAAAGAAAAATAAGCATAGATACACACTCTAAAATATGTGATCATTTTCAAAATCATATACTAATTATTGATTAGAGTATTTTCAGGAAATAGAAAATTTATAAAGTGTTCTTCTATTCAACAAAAGACAGCATAGGATGTGTGGAGTGGAAAGAATATCACTGGAGAGAATATAAGTATACAGTAGTTCTGATTTCCTTCATAACTGGCATATTTCCTGAGGGACAAATGTGACATGTAGGGGAAAAATTCCTTAATAGAAGAATGGCTTAAACGTGATTTTTTTCAACATTACTCACCTAGAACCTTTACCATGTTTCAAACTCTATTTTTCTCTTTTCTGTACAGTACGTGTTTGTCTGTCTGCACAGAAATGTCTTTGCTTGTGATTAGATATTAACTTATTTCTTTTTGTGTCTTTTGATAACTCAACATATAAAATCAGCTTTCCAGTGATGGTTCTTAAATGACATTGCAGTAATTTCATTTATTATTTGATTGCAGAGGAGGTCATCCTTATCTGACAGGACTTGCAATAGCTGGTGGAACATATTACCTGGGACTAGAAGGAGCCATCATAGGACCCATACTCCTTTGTATTTTTATGGGTGCCTCTAAAATTTACAGTGCTGTACTTGTGAGTCCAACAAATTAATTACTTGCTCTATTGCAGATGCCTTTGAAGATTTATTGGTAAATATTCATTCATCTATTTGTTAGCTTTATAACCAGCCTTTCTTATAGAAGCTTTTAAAATATAACTTTGGGGCTGCATTTAATCATTTATTTACATTAATACTCATGTTAAAGCATGTGTGATACATTAGTAGGTATTTAGTAGGTATGTGGACATACACAGGCACACACAGAGAGGGAGAAAGAGAGAGAGTGAGATAAAAATGTAAAGATAAAATCCAGATTTCCTATTAAGGAAATAACTAATAAAACTAATCAAAAAGTCTAGTAATGACTAGTGATGACATTGTTAAAATATGGATTTTTTTCTTATGTAATTTCTTATTTAATGCTTACATGACTTGAAAAAATGTTAAAAAGGAAATAAACTAAATTGAAAAAAATGAAGATGCAAAATTGTTCAAATGAAATAATTTATAAATTGATATCCTTGCTGCTAATTATTTCACATTTGTAAAATCTGTGATTTTCTAAAGTACACATCAATTAGATTTAAAAAAGAAATCATTACAGATTTTACTCCATTTGTCATGACTGACTTTAGGGGATGCTCACCTCCGCTTCAAGGCCATTGAACCAGTGTTGTCCAAAGACATTTCTGCGGTCATGTGGCCAGCATGACTTAACACTTTGGTGTTGTTATCTTCTTACTAAAGTGGTGCCTATTTATCTACTCGCTTTTGCATGCTTTCAAACTGCTAGGTGACAGGAGCTGGGGTGAGGATGGGAGCTCACCTCATTGTGTGGTTTTGGGGCCTTGAATCTGAACTGCTAGTTTTCCAGGCCATAAGCTCAGCATCTTAAAACCACTGAGTCACCATGCTAACCTATGCATCAATTAAGCAGAAGTGAGAATAGTCTGGAAGGCTGTAATTAATGGACAGCCTTGAATCAAAATAATAAAAAGTGATTTTCAAGGAAGTTGAAAATTGAGTTTCAAGGAAAAAAACCAGGGAGAACTAGAGAAATGTATTTTTAAAAAGTCTTATTACAATAGAAATTACTATAATACCATTGCAATTCCTATGGTATCTTTTGTTGTCTAGCTGATTTCATAACTAATTCTTCAATCCATGTTTTGTGCAAGAACACTGTAGTTTTGTCATAGAAATAACAAGGGAAATATTCATAGAAATTTCAGTTAAGAAATGGCGAACTGAAAATGGCTCAGCTAAAAGTGGAGGTGATAATTGTAGCAGAATGAAGAGCTAGCAAGTAAACTGGTTCTTTGTAATACTTCTCTAGACAAGGAGGGACTTGTCCTCACCCACAGACAGTTTGTCCTCATGAGAAAAGTGAAAGACGACAGTCCGCAGTTTAGAGCTCTGGAAGAATAAGGGAACAGCCATCTTGCCCAAACCATAGTCAGTGCATTATGACCAGTGGTGAGTTGTTTTCAATCTTCAATCAATTCAATTAAGAATGAAGCCAAATATTTTAATATTGGATTCATTGAAGAAAGTTGATGAAGTCTTAATAATTAAAATGAATATACAGATAACAAACCAAGTGAGTTATCAGAATAATTTTCCTGTATTGGATTTACAAAACAGGCTTGTTAAAACTTTCAAGCATTTTATAAGAAAGGACCAATCAATTAATCAATGAAGTTTTAGGACAGAGGTCCCAACCCCTGGGCCAAACCCACTACCAGGCTGTGGCGTATTTTGAATCAGGCCACATGAGAAACGTCCCAGTGCATGTATGCACATGCACAGCTCCATTTGTGCAAGCATTGACCCAAAGGCTTGTGCGAGTGGAGCTGCACGCAGCATGTGCAGGCCAGCCTGCCACTTGTACAACCCCCATCTCCCCATCCCTTAGCCAGACCACCAAGCTGTCTGCTCCTGATGTTCCCAACACAGGAAGCAGTGAGAGCAGAGGCGGAATGGAAAGAACATGCCCTGCTCAGCATCATTGACTTACCAAGTCTGCCTGTGCAAGACACCAGATCCAGTTTTGAAGCATCAGGCAGCCTCAGTGAGTCTGGAGGAGCATGGGATTGCACTCCAAAGGCTTTTCTTCTCTGAGCCAAAAGCTTTTGCAAATGGACTAAAGATCAATATTGATAAAAATATCTGCTATTAATGCAGTTAAATATTATTGATTTAACATATCCGTTAAGTTGTGAAAGAACGCTCAATCATTTTGCCCATTGATATACAATTTGGTAAGATGACTAGTATCTACTACTGCTAGATACAATTCAGTGGTAGTTTACTCACAGATCTTCTTGGTACTATTCTAACTACCCAATTCTGCCTGTTTTAGAGTTTAAATATATTATTAAAGGATTCATTTACACAGTGATACTTCAAAGTTTGTGAAACCTTTTGAATGTTTGATACAATTGGTAGAAGAGGGAGAATTACACAATTTCTTACTATATATTGCAATACAATACCAAAATATTTGCTATATAGGTAGTCCTGAACTTACAACCACAATTGAGCCCAAAATTTATGTTGCTAAGTAAGAAATTTGTTAAGTGAGTTTTGCCCCATTTTATGACTTTTCTTGTCACATTTGTTAAATGAATCACTACAGTTGTTTAGTTTGTTAAGTGAATCTGGCTTCCCCAGTGACTTGCTTGTCAGAAGGTTGCAAAAGGTAATCACACTGGAACACTGAAATCTTCAAAAATGGGAGTAAGTTGTCAACCGTGATAAATCACATGATGTTGCAATAGTCATAACTATAAAAAATGGTTATAAGTCATTTTTTCAGTGTCATTGTATCTTTAGATGGTCAGTAACTGAACTGTTGTAAGTCAAGGACTACCTGTGTTAGAAAACGTTTAAAAGTTTAAATTTATGACTAAAATTCTGTATAGTATTGAAATGATTGTATTCCAATCAAGGACGATACCATGTACTTCTCACAGTACTTAAAAAGGATATATTGCTGCATTTCCAGTTTTTAAATTGTTTAATTCCAGGTTTTTTACAATATCTGTGTCAAGCTGCAAATATCTTGGTTCCTTCTGAATTCTGTATTTTAAATATTATTTTATTTATTTTATAAAGTATTTATTTCTAATAAAAACTTTCTACTATTAAAGAATTAAAAGATTGATTAAAAATGTGAGTCCTTAAATTTTGAATTTATTTTTACCCTTTTTTTATTTTTTGTTGCTTTTTAAATAACACAAAAAGAAAAAAGAAAAGCACAGAAGTAGCAGTAATAGTGATACATACATTGTGAAAAAGAAATAACATACATAAATAGTTATTTCAACCAAAAAATAATATTTTATGTGTTCTTTTTTTCTGTAAGTAATATTAAAGGATGCATTCAAAAACTTTGTGAAGCCTTTTGAATCTTTGATATTTCTGCATAAATATGACTTAAAATGTTATCTGTTTTCCACACAAACAGAAACCTAACCCTAACCCTCCCACACTCACAAGTGGTTACTATCAAGATATGGAAACTCTTAATTTCCCCTTTAAAGAAACTGATAATCCTATTGGTGTATGTACTTTTGCCACACAGAAATAGATAGTTTTAAATAATTTTTGTCAGTAAATAAATGAACCTGTATAATGTTTTTGACTCATTTGTTTAATTGGGTTTTCTTTGCATAATTTTAGAGCTTATGTGGAGAACTGTGATAACTCCCCAGATACCTCTCTTGATGTCAGCTAAGGGGAGAATGAACCAGTTCCTTGCATGTCAGGAGCTGAGTTGATTGATGGCTCTGAGCAGCTATCTATGAAGGATTTGGAAGAGGCTCCAGGTGGGGAAAGCATGCAGGTCATTGAAGAGGAAGAGGAACTGCCTTCTGCTCCTGATCCAAGAACACGTAGGGCAGAGAAAAGGCAGGACTAGAGATGGACAGCCAGACTACTCATGAGGAGAAAGCTCTGCCCTTGATGAATTGCATCGGAAGCTAGCCTGGGATCCTACTGGCATAACAACCGGTTCACTTTGCGCGCATGCACTTCAAATGCACACTGCATGTGCGTGCACACTACACGCGCATGCACATTACTTACAAATTAATGGGTCCAGCAAGCAGTGACCTGCTGCAGCTGATGAGCAGCACTCAGCTGTTCCACGCAAAGCAACTGAGGAGGAAAAAACAGGGAATAAAGCACAGCCTAGAACCCGGGCGCGTGAATGGGCCAAACACAACCAGAAGATCGTTGCAGCAAACTGGTTGAGTGTCAGCTGCTCTTCGGAGCTACCGGTTCTATAGAACCAGGCTGAACCGATAGCATCCCACCCCTGAAGCTAGCTATTTAGCACAGCAGATGGATGGAAGCGATGCTGGGAACAATGTGTTTGTTTCCTAGCTGTGAGTTTTCTGGTCATTGTGATTCTTTCCTCGCTTTAGATTTCATTAAGGGCCCACATCAGGGTTGTGTTTGACCTCGGCAGGGGCGTGGTGGCCATCGTTAGCTTGACGTCACTTATGTCGGGGGCACCTACAGTGACCCAAGCGCTGCCAGTGAAAATGGGCCCCAGAGCTCCCATTTCCATCTGCAACAGCCTCCTGCATCCTTCTGCCAGCGAAAATTGAGCTCATGAGGGCAGTACATAGCCCTTCTGGGCTCCATTTTTGGGTGTGACAGCCTCCTGCAACCCTCTGCCCGAGAAAACAGCTTGTCCTCCTGTGCTCTGTTTTCAGTGGCAGAGGCACCATGGGCTGGTCCCTTGCTGTTTCCAGGGTGGTCCCTCAGGCCAGATCTAAGCACTCCAAGGGCCAGATCCAGCCCGTGGGCCTTGATTTTGACACCCCTGCTTTAGATTGACATCATGCCTTGATTTGAATCCTGCCTTTGAAACTCTGGACTTTTCCTGCCTCATTAGCTCTCTTGTGTTGTGGACTTAAGTTTGCCTCTTGGATTTATTTAGACTGAGAAATTTTCAAGTGCCTTCTTTGGCCATTGCTCTGTGAACTAGCATTGGTCTGCTCATGGCTGGACTTAATTGGGACAATTCACAAGAACAGAACACATTTTAAATTATATTTATGCAGAAATTTTGAATAAAAAAGATTCACAAACATTTAAATACTTCAGATTTAAAATTTTACATTTTTAACTTTTTTATTTTTAAAAGTTTAAATTTAATGTTTTAAAAAATTATTAAAAAGCAAACAAACTAATGGCTGATGTTGTGACTTGCAAGATATGTTGTATGTTTGAGGTTATGTTCATAGAAGACCCAAATTATGTATGTACCGAATATAAATTAATTGAATTTAATTAATTTAATTCAATTAATTTAATAAATTAATTAAATTAATTTAATAAATTAATTGAAATTAATTGAAAAGAAGAAAAAGTTAAGAGTCTAGAAGCAACTCTAGCCACTCTAAAATTCAACTTACAAAAACAAAAACCCCAAGCTAAGTGAGAACACTATGCCAAATTGAACACAATAGAGAACAAACAGCTTCCAAAAAATGACGCGATATATGAATCTAAAGAGAAAAACCAATGGAATTATATCACTTATAAAAGGAAACAACAACCAAGAGCAATACCCCTATTCCAGTCCATCCCTGTGAAGCTCCTCTGTAGCTGAACAATTGTTTTAATAATGTTTTCAGAAGTATGGAGCAAAAATCATAGAGGTGACTGAGAATCTAACTAAAATAATAAAACCCCATAGATTACCACCCCTTTCTTCTACACGTGGGGACAAATGACAACCACGAACCTGAAAATAAAAACGAAAGATTAAGAAAAACTAGGGAAGAAAGTTAAGGAATTAGGAGCACAAATGGTGTTTTTATTTATACTTCCAACAAGAGGCCTATGTTCAATGAAGAAGCATAGGATTTTAGAAACAAACCATTGATTTAAAAATTTGTGTCATCAACAGAACTTTGGATTTTTAGATCGTGGTCTGCATTACCTTACATGAAGAGCTCCTGGCAAGTGATGAAGTGCCCCTCACCAGAACCGGGAAGAACATATTTGGAAAACAACTGATTCACCTTATCAGAAAAGCTTTAAACTAAAATTAAAGCAGAAGGGTAAACAAGTTTTACAACCTTTAGGATCTAATTCCAAGTAAATAGAACTAGACAACCAATCAAATAAAAAGATAGGGAGTGAAGAGAAAAAAACAAAAACTCAGAACCAAAGTAAATGTAAGAAGCAGACCTGGGTTCAGCCACAAAGAAGTTAAATGCCTATACACTAACACTCGGTTTAGGGAACAAACAGGGTGAACTTGAAATACTAATACACGAGAGAAGTAGGTATGATGTAGTTGCAATCACAAAAATGTAGTGGATTGGAACTAATGACAGGAGTGTATTGATAGAAAGATATAAACTATTCAAAGCTATATTAAGCACAGTGATGTTGGAAGTTTATAATGAAGTTCTGTTAGAAGCAAAAATACCTAACTCATGGATGGGAGCAACTATTATACCGAAAGAAGAAAATTTATTAATATGATTAAAGCAATATATCATAAACAATCAGCTAAGGTGATGATAAATGGAGACATGATGGACAATTTTGATATAAAAAGGCACTAGGCAGGGATGTCCATTGTCCCCTCTGCTATTTATACTGACTCTGGAAGTATTTGCCAGAAATATTCGCCGAGATGAAGAAATAAAAGGAATGGAAATTAAAAAAGAGAACTACAAGCCTCAGGCGTTTGCAGATGACCTAGTATTAGAAGACCCATTAGAAACTGGAAGCTAATTTAAAAGAAGAGTATGGAGAAGTTGCTGGATTGAAAATAAAGACTAGACAAAGATTTTAGTTAAAAAGCTCACAGATACACAAAGAGTGTTGATGAAAAAAATTGATATGCAGATAGTCAAAAAAGTGAAGTATTTAGGAATACAGTTAACAACAAAATGTGTAACAATTAAAGAGGATAATTATATGAAACTGATGCAACAAATTAAATTAGTCTTGGAGACATGGAAAGATTTGCAACTGTCATTAACAGGAAGAATAGCTATTATAAAAATGAATATTCTGCCAAGGTTATTATACCTATTTCAAACAATTCCAATAAAAGTGGGGGGAAATATTTTGAGGAATTAGATAATAAAATAAGGTCAGGGAAGAAAGCAAGAATAGGTTTGAAAATGCTGCAAGATTCCAAAAAAGACAGGGCTTTGGACTGTTGGATTGGGAATTGTACTGCCAGGCCCCAGTATTAACTTGTGTGAAAGAATTGATTAACTTGAGGCATCAAAGACTGTTAACTTTAGAAGGGCACGACTTTCAATGCTTTCCTATAGTATGGGAAGAATAAGATACACAGTTACTTTCAAAGACATTATGTCAGAAATGCATTGTTATCAGTATGGCTTAAAATTAAAGAACAACACTACCTGGAAATACCAGTTTGGCTTTCTACAATGGAAGCACTGATACATTCTAATATTATTAATATGGGAAAAATTGTAAGATATAAAGATATTCTGAATGAAAAAGGGGAATTAAAAACCAAGCAGAAACTTAGTAGTCGAGGGATGGACATTGGATGGTGGCCACAAATGTAAATACAATTTCAGTATGAGAAAGATGCTAAAATATATGGTTTTAATTAAAAAAAATTAACAAAATTCGATCAGATATTTACTGGAACAGATGAAAAATTGATAAAGAAAATATATTGTTATTTACTGGATATTAAACTTGAAAGTGAGCAGGTAAAGGAGACAATGATTGTTTGGGCTAAAAATTTTGGAAATGCGATAGAACTAGATAAATGGCAGGAACTATGGGATAGAAATGTTAAACTATGTCAACTGCATATAAAGAAAATTTGTATAAAATGTTTTACAGATGGCATTTTGCACCAACAAGATTAGTGAAAATGTATAAGCATAGTTCTACTAAATGTTGGAGAATATAAATGTAATCAAACATCTGGTTCATATTACCATATGTGGTGGACATGTCCACAAGTTAAAAAAGATTGGATGAAAATGCATACCAGGTTGGAAAAAATGATAAAACAGCATATAGATATAAAACCAGAAATATTTTTATTGGGTATTCTACCAGAAAAATATGATAAAGAGAATATACTTGATTTTACATGTACTAACTGCAGCTAGAATTGTATATGCTCAACAATGGAAGTGTGATGAGATCCTGACAGATGAGAAAATATTATTAGAATGTGCAGAATGCTTTCTATTAAGGACAAAGAAGAAATGAAATACTTTTTGACATGGAACTTATTTTATTGATGATTAGACAATAAAAATAGAAGTTAGAAAGAAAGGGACATTAAAAAGGATAAGTGTTAAAATGGAAATGTGTTAAAATGGACAAACAAAACATTATTGTTACTACAATATTAATGTTATTGTGATGCATGTTATTGTAAACATCTTGATTATGATTGCCTAAAAATAATTGTATCCAGACAACACACTGTTCAGTTGAAATGGAATGTTTACGTATTATTTTAATAAAACAAATAAAACTTTAAAAAAAGAAATATATAAACTATTCAAAAGAAACAAACCTAACCACGGAGGAGGTAGAATTTGCATTATATGTTAAAGATAATTTCCTCTCCACAGAGATATACAAAACCAAGTATGAAAGCCTCCTCGAATGCTTGTGGGTCAACATAAAACAAAAAACAATGATATTGTCATTGATGTATAGTACTTATAGGCCATCCAATCAGGTAGAAGAAATAGATGAACATTTGCTAATCGGTTAGCATTGTATGTAAGAAATGCATCACGCTAGTAATGGGGGATTTTAAATATCCAAACATCACCTAGCTATACTGGGCCTAATTCTTACTAACAGAAGAAATTATAGAAGAAGCTGCAGCAACTTTGGGGGAGAGTAAAAGAAAGACCCTCAACTCCATTGGATTGAAGTGAAAGGTTCTTTTACTAGAAAGATGTTGGTTTCAATAAGGTCAGGCTAGGTCTGGATTTTGCGTGCTCAAACATAAAAGTTTCCTTTCATCCCAACCCTCCTCCCATGACCAATCCATCTTCAGCCAATCGGAACTCACTGAGATGTTTGTGGTAATAGGCATTCTTTCTCGGGGTGCCTGGCCTTGAATTCTGGTGCAAACTGGTTGCAAGCTTCTCATGGCATACACACAGCTTTATTACCCATTTATCTTATCCCTCCCATTTCTAACCTTTGATGGCAGGATGCCTGTGATGTGCCAATCACACCTAGCAGACCTGAAATCCTGCCCCCATTGATAGAGGCATCAGTCCTGCAGAGGAAAACAAGAGGGAGGAAGAACACAGAAAGTCTCCAATTAGCAGTTCAATGAGATTTATCTGGGTATCATTCATGGAATTTTGAAAGCAGTTTGGACGCCTTAATAATGTGTTGGGAACTGACTCATTCAGTCTCTGAGGGAGGGAAGTCTTTCCATGCTAGCAAGTACTGGGTTGTATACAAAGATTTGATAGATAGACCTCATCTCCCAGTTTAAAGTGTTTAGGCTTAGTGCATTTTTATCAGCTTGTTTTTTTATATGCTTCCCTAGCTTCATCCAAACTTTTCCTTAACACCAGTCAGGTATTCTGTAGTTGGGTGACCCACTCTTTTACTAAAGCAATCAATGGGATGGCCTTGGGCAATTCAGGGATAGATACAAAGTCCTGTCCTGTGGCCATTTTAAATGGGATGAACCTGGTGCTACTATGTACTGAGTTATTGTGGGTGACCTCCTTGAAAGGGAGAAAGTCCATCCAATTGTCTTCCACAAATCCTCCCTTTCCCCAGCATCCATTCAGAGCTGAAGAAGCTTCTTGGATAAGAAGTGAAATGTCTTCAAAGAAAAAAGTTGCCTCTTAAAAAAATATCTTTGGAACATCTATGATTTGGATAACTGAGAAACTCCAGAGATAACAATGTCCTTCTTCAGTGATGGCCACCAAAATTGGCACAATCTCTGGGGGGGATGAGTCTGCCTACTGAGATGAGGTGGACTGGTTGCTTTCGTGGTGTGGAGACAATAACTTGGTCCTCAACACCAATAAGACCAAGGACTTTATAGTGGACTATAGAAAGAACAGATCAGACATCCAGCCCTTGCTTATCAATGGAGACTGAGTAGAGCAAGTGGCCAGTTTTAAGTTTCTGGGTGTTACCCTAAAAGAGAACCTGATCTGGAGTGCCCACATTGCAGCCCTGGTCAAAAGGACCCAGCAGAGATTATACTACCTGAGGCTTCTCAGAAAACAACTGAATGAAAAACTGCTGGTGATCTTCTACCCCTGCACCATAGAGAGTATTTTAACATACTGCACCTCTGTATGGTTTGCCAGTTGCACAGTGGCAGATAGGAAAGTACACCAGAGAGTTAACATCATTGCCCAGAAGATCATTGGTTGCCCTCTCCCCTCTTTGGAAGAGCTTTATAGCTCCTACTGCCTTAAAAAAGTTCAAAAGAAGTTCTCAAAGATCCATCTCATCCTGGCAACCCTTTTTTTGAACTATTGCCATCTGGCACACAGTACAGAATAATAAAAACAAAGACAAATAAGCTGAAAAACAGCTTTTATCCCAGGGTGGTAGCTCTTTTGAATTCTGCTGTATAGTGCAATATTGGTGCGGTGTCGGGGGTTTTCAGTTCAATGTATGGAGGGTGAAGGATGTGTGTGTTTATTTTCATGGTCATAATGTGCACTGAAGATGGTGTTTGATTTCATAGTGCAATGACAAGAAAGTAAACTAAACTAAACTTGACTAAGTGCAGGGTTTGTACAAAGCTAAAATGCCCCACCATCTTCAAATCATAGCTTTTTTGTAGAATCATTAATTGTTGGCTCTGCAGGATGAACAAAATTAGCTCCCACCCAAGCTACACTATCTTGCATTGTACATTCGGCCTTGTGCATGTGAAACCATTTGTCTTCTTCCAAAGCTGCTTTTAGAGTACCTTTTAATTGCCTGGAGGAGATGAGCAGCCTAATTAGCTTTGAACTACTCCACTGCAGCAGCCTAGATAAAGCATCTGCTACATAGGAAATCCACCCCTGCCCCGGGTATCTTAACATGAAGTTGAAGCAGTTAAAGTACTCAGCCCAATTAATTTGTTTGGGCAATAACCTGGGGGAGGAGGAGTTTAGAGCCTCTAGATTCTTATGGTCAGTCTCCATGTCAAATGGGGTCTTTCCCGCTTCTAGGAAATACCTCCATGTAAGGAACACCCAGCGCACTACATAGGCTTCCTTCTCCCAAACTGCCATTTCTGCTCCGTATCATTAAACTTTTTATAAATGTAGGTGCATGGCTGTGGGATCCCCTGGTTGTTTTCCTGTAGAAGCACTGCAACCATGGTGACATCACTGGCCTCAACCTGAACGACAAAGGAGACATTGGTGTCTGGGTGTTTCAGCACCGGCTCTGCTGCTAACAAATGCTTAAGCTTTTCTAATGTGGATTGATATTCCATAATCTATTTAAATGTCTGACTGGGCTTGGGTTTTCCCTCCCCTCTCATGTTCAGTAGGCTGGTATTGGAAGAGGTATCTGGGCAAATGAGGGGATGAATTGGTGGTTAAAAGTTCACAAATCCCAGGAAGCTTTGTAGTTGCTTCCAGATGCAGAGAGGAGCCCACTCTAGTACTCTCCATACTTTTTGAGAGGCCATCTCTATCCCCTTGTGGGAAATGTGGGAGCCAAGATAATCAATTTTACTCTGGTGAAATTCACATTTGGCTAGCTTGGCAAATAGTTTGATATCAGTATAGATTAAAATATCATCCAGGTAGACTAGTGCTCTCTTGTACAGGTGCAAGAGCTGGAGTCTCTTGTAATCTCCTATAAGGGAGGACTCGAAATTGGAAACATCCTAAGGGGCAATTTAAGGCCTTTTTCCGCTCATCCCCTGCCTTGATCCTAACTCAAGAGTTGGCCTCTTGCAAATCCAATTTGGTGAATTAGGGTTTGGTGAATCTATTTTAATAAATATTTTGCATTTTCTACAGATAATAAAGTACGATTATAATATATATTATATTCTAGCATTCACTATGGTTTCATGAAATTTACTTCATTGTTTTGCATTTGTATTTTATAATATGTGCCTTTTACTAAGAGAATATATTGTATGTGTGTTGCAGAACTGGAATCAAGTTCATTAATACTTAGTAATAAGAACTGCATAGGCCAATTTTGTTCATATTTATTACTTGACAGGTGTATAAATGAATACAAAATCAGAAAAAGTTTAAAACATTTCAGATTACTGTGTCACAAATATAATATTTTCCAAAGGAATTTATACAAATTAATTATTAATCATTATTTATATCTTGCTCATCAAAATATGAAGCGTATAAGTATGATAGTTAACAAGGAATAACTATGGTCATTCATTCAATTTCTATAGCCACCCAATTCAACCAAGTTTCTAAGCAATGTCATATGACATCGAACTTTACAACAATGTTACTTAATGACAGAAATTCTATCCCAATTATTGTTGTAACCCCAGGACTAACAATTTAGTGTTCATAATCCACAATCTTAACAAATCCTACTAGAATATATTTAGCTGATTTTAAAGCAGAATTCTCATGCCAAGAAGAAAATAAAGACAAGAGAATTCTGAACAAGAAAAAAATGCTGTTTGCTAGATCACAAAAAGATCTGAGTGACTAAAAAATAAGAACTTTAAGTATGCTTAAATTACAAGTGAGTTGATTCTGGGAGAAAAAATCTAGGTTCTTCAGCACCATCTAGTTGCAGAAAAGAATCTGTGGATCTGTTGCTGAGTCGAATGGGAGCAAGTCTTTGAAAGCTGTTTGGAGAATAAGGTATTTGTACTCTGGCTCTTTGGGAAGGTACCACCATCTCATCATTGGATAGCCAAGGTGTAAACTTCATGATGGCATTTTGCTCAACATCAGCTGAAAATACTGGATTATCAATGCCTATAAAAAGTCCACCAAAGGAAAAATCAATAATTCAGTAAACAGGAAAACGATAACCTTCATACTGTATTAGACTATTGCAAAATTGGAACTGAACATGGAACTTGGTTGAAACAGCATTTGCAATAAAAAAACTAAAACTATTTTAACAAAGCAAGTCTCTGTCAGAAACGATGATTTTCCCTGCTGGCTGGACTATAGGATAATACAGTGGTTGAAAGTGAGTAATAAAACAGTTGGTTGTGAATGTCATCTATGGGATTTAAAAAAATCTTTTCTTTCCCTTGTTTGTCCCAAAAAGGAAACTGCATCTTTTAGAAAGTGTGTGAATAAAATGCATTTTATTCTATGATATGTATTTGTACCATTTTTAACATTATGGTTTTGAATAATAACAATTTCCTCAAAATGCTGACAAATGGTGCATATATCTTCTGTTCCATACTTCTGGAAAATGAAATTTTCTTTTTATATACCTATTTAAAAAAAGACAAGCCAACAAGCACAACATTTTTATATTACTAATGTATATATTATTTACCATTTGTATCTGTGAAATTATCTTTGTTGACATAATCCAGGAAGTTTACTACTCCATCTATCTGTGAATAGCCATAATCATTTTCTTCTGGTTCAGAAAACTCATTTTCTAGAATAAAATAATATTTATTTATATAACTAAGATAATTAGGTTCTGAGACAGTTTACTACTTGTAAAAGTAAATTGATATTTAATTTGAAAAAGGAGTATTAAATGTAACATATATTCAAACTTGTAACAATTTCCGACAAAGAAACAATTTCAACTCTGATTTCTGAACGAATAATACACATAATTACAATTCCTCAATCTGAAATCAATATGTTCATTGATTTCTGTTTTATTGTTAAGCTTTTATCCCATTTTAGAACTTACTCAATACTTATCTTTTAAAAAGGACATTTAACTTTTCATTTTTTTAAAAAGGGCATTTACCTTTGTCATTTATAACATATGCAGATGGGTTTCCATCTGGTATGACATTATTATTTTTCTGAAAAAACAAGAAATGATCATATAAATACATATTCCATTTTGTACAGAATGTATACAACTTAATATGTGTTATGTTTTACAAAGTTTATATTTTATGTTATAATTAAAATATTTAGTTAATAAAAATATGTTGCCTATTACATATACAGTTTCAATTAATTTTAACTTTACATAAACCAATTTATAAAACTAAATTTCTGTGTAATATTCTTCTAAAACAGAAATAGGATTTACAAAGGATTATTCATTGCTCTCCCATTAACTATATAGATTCAGGTGACTGATCTTAAAATAGTAGCATAACAATAAAAAACACAGGAGACAAAGCCATCTTAGGGCCTTTGCCATTCTTTTCTGCCCTATACTCTCAACAAGTCTGATAATTTAGAAGAGGGGTATCTTTTCCAGCAAGCTAGAACTCCTCCCACCAAAAAAGATGATCAGTTGGTAACACATTAATGCATCTCTTTGATATCATGTTTAGTAGCTGTTCCAGATTGCTACAGCCTCAACAGAAGCCACAGTGAACAAGCGTTGGGAAAGGAAAGAGAGAAGAGCTATTGCCATTGTTGCTGGTATCTCAGCTGTTTCTTCCAAGTTAACTATCTCTTTAACATCAGCTGTTAGATTTGAGATTCTGGAAGTCCTGGAAACAGAGGACAAACAGAGGGCAAACTGCTTTTACTTTTCATCTCTTGTTACAACAAGCAAGATTTGGCTAGCAATCCTTTTTACAGTTTCTTGATGGAAAAAACTAAATAGATTTCCTAACTGGCAACTAATTTGCTCAGTATCACATTTCATAAAATCCTAGAGTTGGAATGATCCTTAAATCTGTGACAAAAGCATCCAGATTCATTTTACATGCACTACTACTCGTATTAAGCCAGGATCTCCCCATCTATATTTGTCCCTTTCACTTTTTCTGCCAGATGAAGAATCTTACATTTCTCCCTGTTAACAGATTAACAGAGTTGGAAGGGATTCTAGAAATCTTCTCGTGCATAAGCAGGAGACCCTAAACTGTTCTAGACAAATGGTTGTCCAATTTCTTCCTAAAAACCTCCAATGATGGACCATCCACATTTGTGTTCGGAACACAAAGCATTCCACTGGTTAATTGATCTAATTGTCAGGAAATTTCTTTTTAGTTCCAAGTTGATTCAATTCTTGATTAGTTTTCATATATTGATTCTTGTCCTACTTTTTGGTAAATAGTTCCTCCTTTTTCTGACAGGCCCTCAAATATTGGACATTGCTATCATTTACCTCTGGTCTTCTTTTCACTAGACTAGACATACTCAATGCCTGCAACCATTCTTCATATGAGGCCTCCAGCCCCCTAATCATCTTTGTTGCTCTTCTCTGCATTCTTTCCATGGTCTCTTTTTTATATTGTGGCAACTAAAACATGATGCAATATTCCAAGTGTGGTTTTACCAGGCATTACAAAGTGCTACTAACACTTCATGTGATCTTGATTCTATCCCTCTGTTAATGCAGCCTATGATTGCATTGGCTTTTTTGGTAGCCACAGCACACTACTGGCTCATATTCAAGTGGCTGTCCAGTAGGACTCCAAGATCCCTTGATTATCTTTTCTAGTTTTAGTTTAAAGTTCTTTGGATAGGCTAAGCCAGTCATTTTCTGAACACATTCTTCCCAGTCCTTTTGAAGTGCAGCCCATCACTTGCCAGAAGCTCTTTATATAGGTAATGCAGACTGCAGTCTAGGACTCCAAAATTCTCTTGATGGCGCCATCTCTTAACCCAGTGGTTTATTTCTAAAATCCTTTGTTCCCTTGTTGGTTGTTGACTTTTTGTTGGAAATATAGATAAAAATACCACCTGTTCAGTCTGTTGATATTGTTTTTAGGTTTATTGTCATGTTATTTGTCCACACATGAAAGAGAAGAAAAGAATCGTAATCTGTGGGCTAATTTTAGTAAGGCTCTCAACCTCATCTTTGAGTTTTGTTCCAGGGAGGCAACATTCCTCCCTAGATTGATTGTCTCATCTACAGATTGCTGTTTCCATTCCCCTGAAAAGTGAATCTCCCATCACCAGCACTTGTTTTTGTTCCTCTAGCAAAGTCTGGACTACTTTTCTCCCTGTCAACGTTGATATCCATTCTCCAGGTCTCTGCATGCTTCCTTTCTGGGGGAGGATATGAAATCGATTGTTCAACTCACCCTGATGCACTGGATTGGGCTGCACTAGATAGCAGGGACAATATTCTTCGTTGTTGTATTCTTCTATAAGTGACATGTTGCCATCAGCCTGTCTCTAAAGGTTCATTTGTTTTCATAGTTGTTTGTTCCTTATTGTGTTCAGTTTGGATACAATTTTCTTCCTTTGGCTGGAGGTTCTCATTTTGTAGGTTGAGCCTCACAGTGGCTAGGGTTGCCTCTTGATCTTTCTTCAAGTAATTCATAGTTTACATTTGGTACATGTATAATTTAAAGAACAAGAGAAGCTGAACACAAATAGACTACCATATCATAAATGTTTTTCTCTAATTCAAAAAGTATGGTAAACAAATAAGATTAGGTAAATATCATGAGGAAGCAAGGCAAGTTTGACATAATAAGGATTACTGAAACATATCTGGTGGATGGGGGAGGGACAGGCAGCAAGAGACGAGGTAGTGTAGTGTTGTATATCAGAAATAAACTGGCCTAGAGATCCACTGGCCTAGTGGTAATAATTCATCTGGGTTTAAAGACAGACAGGAATCCATTACAGACTGCCAAACCAATCAGATGATGACGATTAAAACAGATAAATTTCAAAAATATGGTGCTGGTGAAAGCAGGACATACAGTAAACATGCTAAACAAATAAATAAAGTTTTCCTTAGGCAATGTCAAATGTTTGGTCTTACCCTTCTTTGGCTACGGTCTTTCTTGTGAATTTTATTTAGTTTCTTATGGTGATTCAAACTTAGTTTTGTGCTCTTGAAAGATTCTAGTCTTTTTCTCATAGTTCTGTGAAAAATTTCTTTATTTTGCTTCTCATCTTCATTCAGAGTTATTTTATGACGGCTGTACAAAATTTTTTGCTATAACAATGAGAAAAAGAAAATGGTGAAATATACATTTATATTCAATAATTATATCTCACTACATATCATTATTTTATATTGTCCCATTTATAATTATTCCATTCCCAGACATTGAAAGTGTAAATATCATGATTGTTAGTACACAATACATACCGCTTCATAAATTAAAAAACAAAAAGAAATATAATTCAAACATTGTACCTGGAAAATTCTACTATTTATGTATTTGATTTATACCCATCTGTTTTGATGAGAGCTAAAGGCAAAAATCTAAAACAATAATGCACATTAAAACATTCCTAATCAGTAAGAAAGTGGGAGCCAAATACAACTCAAGGGAGTAGTATAATCAAAGCCTGTGAACAGTATAGGAAAAGGGCCTTTCCTGTGTTCAAGAAAAATGAACATTTAACCAATGGTGTGCTGGAAATTTCTGGAACAGCTTGCGAGAGCTGATTATTAAATTTCCTGAAATACTGTGAGCTATGCCGATCAGCTGTTCTGTAGCCAGTGATGAGCAGAATGGGACAACTCGCCACAGCCAACTTGCTGTGAACAGAGATGAGATTCAGACAATTCACATCAGTTTAGGCAAACCAGTTGTTAACGTTTTGCGCAGCTCAGAGAATCGGCTAATCCCATCACAGGCTGGCCCAGCCCCTCCCTTCCCAGGAGTAACAGTCACTCCTTATTTTGCCTTGCACAGTGCCAAGAATCAAGCCCGCAGCATAGTTGCTGCTGCTCTCTGGCTCCCTCACCTCGACCATACAGCCCCCATGGCCTAACCTGCTTGCCTGCCTTCGCTGCAGCCTCCCACACAGCCCAGCTCTCTGCCTGGTGAGACTTCCTTCGCTGATCTCTGCTCTTCACCAAGCTGCCTCCCAAGCAGCCCAACTCCCTGCCTGCCTGGTGAGCCTTTCTTCGCTGTTCTCCGCTACCTCCCATGCGGCCGAAGTTTTAAAGACTTTTGCAGCAGGAAATGGCGGGCAGCTATTTCTGGCCTTTGATGGTGCAGCTGGGCACGACTCGGTCACTCAGGGAGCGCCCTGCTCTCCACCCCAAGACACTGGCCTGTCACCACCTGCCCGCTGGCCCAAACCGCCTGCTTCCTTCTCCTCCACCACCTGCCCGCTCGCCTGAAATGCCCGCCACTGCCTCCTCATTACCTGCTCTTCTGGCCCAAACTGCCCATTGCCTCAACCTCATTGCTCGCCCACTGGCCCGAACTGCCCATTGCCGCCACCTCATTGCCTGCACGCTGCCCTGAACTGCCTGCCACTGCCTCATTGCCAGCCAGAACTGCTTGCCACCTCATTGCCAGCCTGAACTGCCTGCTGCTTCATTGCTGGTCTGAACCACCTGACGCTGCCTGATTGCTGGTCCGCTGGCCCAAATTGCACACCACTGCTACTGTTGCCACCATGGCTGAAGTGGCCTGCCCACTGCTTGTGCAGCACCTTGTGCAGCACAGTGAAATTTAGCACATTTCACAATAGGGGAGATGGGATCCCCTCCTTCTCCTGGAGCCTGTTACGACATGGAGTCACAATGCTACCCTGCCCCACTCACCCCTAGCAACAGAAGCAGCGGCAACCGCAATGTAGTTCAGGCCAGCAGGCAGGCAATAAGGTGGCAGCTCTTCTGGCAGCTCTGTGCACACGTGCATTAGGAATAGGCTCCCCTTGTTCCTTTGCCTCACTGCTGTCAGATTCTAGAGGCTCTGGAGTCAGGACATAACTCCCAGATGGCCCTGGCCCCATCTCTGTATTGGACACAGGACCCTCGTCCAAGTCCTCCCCAGATTCCTGGACTGGCCCATGTTCTTCCCCACTGTCCAATTATGCTACCATCTCCACAGGCTGCCTTCTATACAACTTAGCAGCCTTGCTGCTGTATTTTGCACCAGCAATAAGTTCTGGACAATTTTCAAGAGCAGCCTTATAGATAATGCATTGCAGTCCTGAAGATAAGATATGAAAAGTCATGGATATGTATCATTAGATGTATAGGATAACAAAAAATTATTTGCTATGGCTAGAAAGTATAGAATTGGTCCAGGAATTCCAATTCTTTCCTGCATTCCTTAGTATATAAATTATTATTATTATGGCTAATTTAATTATTTTTAATTAATGAGACCCCTTATTGTTTGCTTGTTAATAATATTGTTTATTTAACAATATTATTTTTAATTATTATTTTTATTCTGTTTTACTTTTATTTTTTAATTTTTGTTGGATGATGGACATGTAATTTATCCAAATACTTTAAATTCAGTACAGCAGAACCTTGGGTTGCAAATACTTCTGTTCATAACCAAATTGGGTGATGATCAGAATTTTCAGAACAGTTTTGCTTCTGGTCATGAACAGATCTTCGGGTGGTGACCAAGCAACCCCTAAAATCACTGTGGCGATTTCCCCTTTGCTGCCATTTTGTTTTTGTCTTTCTTGGTCTGCATATGCGCAAACATTCGTGCTTCTGACCAAATTGGGTCACGACCATAGTCCTGGAATGGATTACTGTTGCAACCCGAGGTTCCACTGTATCAATATCCTAGTAATTTAAACTCAGTTATTGAAGATTTACTCATTACCTCCACTGGAAGATGGTTCCCATCTTCCACTACTCTTTCTGTGAAATAATACTTCCTAACATTACGCCTTCTTGAACCTTATTCACAGTCTTAATATATTTAAAGGTTTCAATCATTCCCCCTTTCCATTCTGTCCTCCAGGCTATATATATTCAGTTTTTCAATTTCTTCTGATATGTTTTGTCCTTCAGTCCTTGCACTATTTTTGTTGCCTGTCTCTGGACTTGCTCAATCTTATCAATATCTTTTTTTTTTAAGTGAAGACTCCAGAACTGGACACAATATGCCAAATGGGGTCTGACTAAAGCTCTTTATAGAAGGATCGGGATTTCCTTTTTCCTGCTGAAGATCCTTCTAGTGATGCATCCAGAAGGCCTGGCCACATTGTTTACTTTTTTTGCACATCATCTGTTATGAGCACACCTAAATCCTTTTCTTCTGTTATGCTGTCTAACACTGTACCCCCAATTCTGTACCCTCCAGAGGATTCTTTTTCCCTGAGTGCCTATTACATTTAGAAATATTAAAATGCAGCATCCATATTTTTCACCAATTTTCTAGCAATGCCAAATCCCTTTCTGTGTTATGATTACTCCCAGTAATGTCAACTCTATTACACACCTTTGTGTCATCAGCAAAAACAAATTTTACTTAGCAATCCTTCTATTGCATCATTTACAAACACATTGAACATAACAAGAATTAGGACTGAGCCTTGTGTTACACAACTTGTGATCGGTCTCAGTTCAGACATTGGCCCATTAACAATCACATGCTGCTCTTCTTTGTACTCTTTCTAGGGACTCAGCAAATTTTTTGTAGTATGATGTCCAGAATTGGATCTGATATTCCACGTATGGCCTCATTAGTGCAGTATAAAATGGTACTATCACTTCCTGTTATCCAATCACTTCTTATGATCTGCATACCATTCCTCTGTTGATGCAAGGCCTATATTGGGTTTTTTGGTGGCTGCAGCATTCTGCTGGTTCATACTTAAGTGACGATCCACTAGGATATCTAGATCCGTTTAATAATTACTATGTTGAGCCAGGTATTTCCTATTTTATATTGATGTGTTTGGTTTTTCCTGCCTAAGTGCAGGATCTTACCTTTCTCATGACCAAACTTTATCTTGTTAGCTAGGGCCCAATGTTCAATATTGCTGTCAATATTCTTCTGAATCTTGAGTCTATCTTCCAACGTGTTGACAATTTCTCCCAGTTTAGTATTATCTGCAACTATGACAAATTCCCCTCCTGGGGATACCTATCTAGATCATTTATGAAGATTTAAAAGATTTAATAGATAATTCAGAGTTGGAAGGGACCTTGTAGGTCATCTAGTCCACCACCCCCGCCCAAGTGGGAGACCCTACACCATTTCTGACAAATGGCAGTCCAATCTCTTCTTGAAAGTCTCAAGTGATGGCGCTCCCACAACTTCGGAGGGCAAGCTGTTCCACTGGTTGATTGTTCTCTGTCAGAAAGTTTCTCCTTATTTTCAGGTTAAATTTCTCCTTGTTCAGTTTCCACCCATTATTCCTTGTCTGACCTACAGACGCTGAAGAAAATAGCTTGACCCCTTCCTCCCTGTGGCAGCCCCTCAAATATTGGAAGACCGCTATCATGTCTCCCCTGGTCCTTCTTTACTAGACTAGCCAAGCCCAGTTCCTGCAACTGTTCATAAAACCGTATGTTTTAGTCTCCAGCCCCCTAATCATCCTAGTTGCTCTTCTTTGTACTCTTTCTAGAGTCTCAACATCTTTTTTGTAATGTGATAAACAAAACTGGATGCAGTACTCTAGGTGTGGTCTTACTAAGGTTTTATAGAGTGGTATTAGTACCTCCCTTGATCTTGATTGTATCTCTCTGTTAATACCATTTAGGATTACATTAGCTTTTTTGGCTGCTGCTGCACACTGCTGGCACATATTTAGCTGGTTGTCCACTAAGACTCCAAGATCCCTCTCACAGTTATTGCTATTGAGCCTGGTTTCACCCAGTCTATATGTGTACTTTTGGTTTTTCTTGCCTAAGTGTAGGATTTTACTTTTCTCTACATTGAATTTCATTTTGTTAGATACGGCCCAGTGTTCTAGTCTGTCAAGATCCACCAGGATCTTGAGCCTGTCTTCTTGGGTGTTAACTATTCCTGCCAGCTTAGTATTATCTGCAAATTTGGTAAGTTCCCCTTCTATTCCCTCATCTAAGACTTTAATGAAGATATTGAAGAGTACTGGGCCTAAGACAGAAACTTGTAGCACCCCGCTGCTTACTTCCCTCCATGTAGACTTAGACCCATTAAGGACTACTCATTGAGTACGGTTTGCCAGCCAGTTGCGAATCCATCTAGTGGTGGTGCTATCTATTCCACGTTTTTCCAGCTTACTAAGTAGGTTGTGGTCTACATTATTGAATGCCTTGCTGAAATCTAAATATATTATGTCCACAGTATTTTGCTGGTCTACTAATCTAGTCACTGTGTTGAAGAATGAAATAAGATTGATTTGGTGTGATCTGTTTTTAAGAAACCCATGCTGACTGCTAGTTATTACTTTACTTGTTTCTAGATGTTGGCAGATCTGTTTTTTTTATTATCTTTTCCAGCATCTTCTTGGGCATTGATGTTAGGCTGATTGGTCTGTAGTTTCCTGGGTCTGTTTTTTCCCCCTTTTTTGAAGATGGGAACCACATCAGCTCTTTTCCAGTCCTCTGGTAGTTCTCCGGTGCTCCAGGATTTTTGAAAGATATGGGGCAGTGGTTCTGAGATGACCTCTGCCATCTCCTTTAAAATTCTGGGATGTAATCCATCAGGCCCTGGTGATTTGTATTCATCAAGATCAGACAAGTGTTCTCTTACTATTTTTTTGCTTATTTTAACTTTTATTTCTGGTCTGTCTTTTATAGTTATGTTTTGGTGGGTTGAGCTATAGTTTCTTTTTGTGTGAAAACCGATGCAAAGAATGAGTTAAGCAGTTCTGCTTTCTCTCTATTGCCGGTTACCTCCTAGCTGTCTTCTCTCTTTAGTGGACTGACTGTTTTCTTGATTTTTTCTTTGTTATTTATATGTTGGAAGAAACTTTTTTAATTATCTGACTTTTGTTGCAAGTCTTTGTTTGTTCTGAGCCTTTGCTATCCTGACTTCGTCTTTGCAGATTCTGGATATCTGTTGATGTTGTGCCTTAATTGTATGTCCTTCTTTCCATTTTTTGTACTTGTCCTTTTTTTCTTTCAATTTGCCAGAGAGATCTTTGTGCAGCCATGCTGGTTTCTTCTTGGGTTTTTTGTTTTTCTTTCTCAGTGGTATTGTGCTGGTCTGGGCTTCTATGATAATACTTTTCAGAGTTTCCCAAGATTCCTGAATTGTTTTCCCCTTTAGGATTTTCATCCATGGAATCTTTCCCAAGTTCTCTCTGAGTTTATTAAAATCAGCTCTTTTAAAATCCAAGACTCTGGTGTCATTATGTTCTGTTGTTTATGTTTGTGTTATGTTGAATTCTAGTATGACATGGCCACTCACACCCAAGGTTTCTGCAGTTTCAACTTCCTCTATCACTTCTTCTCTGTTTGTAAGAATTAAGTCCAGTATGGCTGTCCCTCTAGTTTCACCTTCTACCTTTTGGACAACAAAGTTGTCAGCTAGGTTGGTTAGGAACCTATTTGATTTCTCACTTCGTGCAGAATTAGCTTTCCAATTGATATAAGGACAAGTGAAGTCTCCCGTTACTATTGTTGTGTGTTTGGTTGACAAAAAGGACATCTATTTTTTCTGCTGGATTGGGTGGCCTATAATATACACTTATGGCCATGTCATTCTTTTTTTACCCATATGCATTCTAGGAGGTTTTCATCTTTGGTTTCATGCATTTCTATAGCAATATAGTGGTCCTTTACATACAGTGCAACTCCACCTCCTCTTTTATGGGGTCTGTTTTTTTTTTAATAATTTGTATCCTTCTACCAGTATGTTCCAACCATGGGTTTCATCCCACCAACTTTCTGTTATTCCATATCATATCTACCTTCATATATTCGTAGTTCGAGTTCACCCTGTTTGTTCCCCAGACTTTGTGCACTTGTATATAGGCACTTGAGATCTTTATGTTTGACACTCTGTTTTCTGTCTACATAACTTTGTGTTTTGCCTGCCTGCCCCTACTTTCTTGCCACCTGTTTGATTAATGCATGTGGTGTGGCACTCACTATTAAATGTGTGGTTTTGGTTGACAGCAATGTTGATAATCTTACCTGCACAAACATCTATTTTGCATGCACTGGTATCCTTATTAATTTTAGGTTGCTGGGGACAGAAATGTTATGTATCCATTAATTATCTGTCCCCGCATATATTGAAGAGCACTGGCTTCAAGACAGAACCTTGAGGTTCACCACTGCATGTTTTCCTCCATGTCAATGTAGTTCAATTCTGGACTACATGTTGAGTGCAATTGGTCAACCAACTGAGAATCCACTTAGTGATGGTAGTGCTATCTCACATTATTCTATGTTACCAAGTACAGGGTATTTTCTACATTGTCAAATTCCTTACTAAAGTCTAAGTATACTATATCCATAGCACTTCCCTGATCCACCTATTTACTCACTTTATCAAAGAAGCCAATATGGTTTGTCTGGCATGATCTGCTTTAACATGCTAGCTTCTAGTAATTGCCATGTTTTATTTTAAGTGCTCACAAATTCACAATTTGATTATCTTTTCCAGGATTTTCCCAGGTACTGATGTCAAACCGATTGGTCTACAGTTTTTTGGATCTACTCTTTCCCATTTTTTGAGGATTGGAACCGCATCAACTTTTTCCAGGCCTCTGGCAGTTCATTCATGCTCCAGAGCTCTGAACAATTTCTTCAATGTTTCTGAGATCACATCTGCCTGATATTTCCAAACCTTAGGATGTAAACAATTTGGATCCTTAGGATCCTGACAATTTGAACTTGTGTAGAGTGGATAGGTATTTTCTTATCAATTTCCTGCCTGTTTTGACCCGCTTTCCTGCTCTGACTTCTGCAGTGCAGCTTTTGATAGCTTGTAATATTTGTCCTTTTGTGTGACAATTAAGCAGTTGCATTTTCTCCCTGTAACTCATCACCTTTTTGCCAATTGCTCCCATTAATGGACCTATCATTTCCTTAACTTTCTTTCTCATAGACCACTGCTCTATGGGCATGAATAAATACATGGAACATAGTTTACCAGGGTGATTGTCTCGTTTTCCAGGACCCTGTTATTCTTCTTACCAACGCTCTCAGTATTTACAAAGCAGGGTCTTTTTTCTCCCTTCCTAACCCTCTTCTTTTTACAGTCTTTTCCTTTATCAATTTTCTTTTTCAATACTGGACCTTTGGATGCCTTCATTCTTTTCAAAATTAAACAAAAATCCCTTACCCAAAATTCGGGCTTTAAGTGTCCTTGAAAATACGGATAAGGTGGAGAATCTACTGAAATTTCTTCAGTTGCAGTTTCTTACCTCTTGTCTGGGCTTATAGAGATACAGTTGTAAAGTATGGTGGGTAAACATATCCTCTGAATCTCGAATGCTTTTCCTTCTTTGTTCTAATGCTTGCATATCAAGGCAGACAGAACTGGCAGTTTCTCTCCTAAAGTAAAACAAACATTTAACAATTGCTTTGTTACACAGAATTTAACAAATAAACAAGCCAACAATCTTAAAACAAACAAACATTTTTAGAAACCAAGAATAAACTCTGATTTTTATAAAACCTAAAACAAATCTCCTTAAGAAAGTAGCTTTGTAACAGAAAACCTGGATACTGGGAGAAAAAAGAAGTCACTTGATTTATTTTCTTTGAAAGTCTAGATTTTAGTGTATAGGAAAGATTTTTTTTTTTAATATTACTGAGAGTTCAAACCAAAGTAATGGAAATCTATGTTGTAATAGTGAACAAAGTTTAAGTAAATTCCACAAACATAATGAAAGTAGGCATAGGAGTGGGATACCTATCTCCTGTAATTATCTAGTAAATATGAACTTTCAGATTCTAGAAATATCCATAGGAAAATGTGAGATACTGTTTGAGAGCAACTATCTCAGTCAGGAGGCGGTATCAAACAGGTAATTAGCATGGAGTTGCTACAAAAAAACCCAAGAGGGCAAGAATTGACCCTCTTTGAATGCCTTTGAGCCTTATCTACTCAGGTGAATCTGCCAATCTGGGAAGATTCCTGTGAAATTGGTCCAGAAAAATCAAGTAGCTAGTGTGGATCTGGTCATTCATACCTGACAGAAACAAACATTATAGTACCATTCAGGTTGGTTGGGCATAGTGTGGCATCATCTTGCAAAATTGAGCACACTGAAATAAGTGATTTTTTAAAATTAGTAAAATCTCTCCTATTAAAACCAAATGATCTTAAAGATGTTAACTGCAGTGTATGTCTTTCTCTGATTAGATATTAAAAGTGTACTTATAAAATCAGGGCTTAAATATTTACTCCACCTACAGCAGTTGGGTGACAGAAGTTTCTCTCTTCATTTGGTTGATAATGCTGAAGTCCACATTGGCAGTGTGTTCAATACTTGGAGAGCGAATGAATGACAATGAACCTCTTTGCTCTCCCTGTTCAATAAAAAAAACATAGGTGCACGTGTACACACACACACACAAACAAACAAGTTGCTTTTAATATGCTAACATGTACCCCAAATTACAAAAAGTCAGTTTTTTATACCCTGTGTCTATACATTTGTTTAAAGAAACTCCTTTGACATTATATGCTCTACAACCATCATAATCATACTTTGCTTATTATGATTTGGGTTGCAATTGATGAAAACATAAAAAGATTTAAATTCCTTTTCATTCATTGTCACTGCACAGAACTGTCTACTATGGACCTCACTGCATTCCTAAGAGGTCCTTAAACGAGGTGTGCATAAGCACACCAGCGTGCCTACCATCCTTGTCTTACTCTCCCCATTTATCAGTATTTACTTCCTTTGTTCATGTTTATATTCATACCTATATTTGTTATCTTATACATGTTTGATAAACAAATCAAATAAAAATAAAATAAATAAATAAAACTTTCACCTAGGCATTTGACATAATGGGCATTTTTTTTAGTCTTGATGATGTGAATGCATGTCACTCTACATTAGCATGCCAACACATCCTCAACCTGTCTCAGGTTTGGGACTTCCAGGGATAGCAATGGCAAGCCGAAGATGACCATAGCAAAAAGAGGAACTGGTGAATAGATTGGCTCCTCGGAACTCATCTCCTTTCCCGATCCACAAGTTTGCTGCGTATAGAATCTCTCTATGAAAAGATTGTAAAAAGTGATATTCAGCAGCTTTGAAAGCGATAGGAGTGGGGAAGAAAATCATCTTGTCCAAAGTTCAGTTTTGGCATCTTCAAAGTGACCCTGGATTAATCTACTTCCTCTTTTAAATAATTTAGGAAACTACTTGTTATTGGCTTTCTATATTTTAAGAATCTATTGAAAGTCAATTTCATTATGGTTGGAGAAACTCCTTTTAGCCTGGATGAAAGTAGTTCTATGTAGGTCTAAGGATTAAAATGACTTTGGAAAACAGAAAAATGTGGACTAGAATATTGGTTTTGGAAAGTTAATGGATTTGATTAATTTGAAAGAACACTTCCTGTGGGGTGTTTATATTTTTATAAAAGAATACAGGAAGACTGAAATAAATTTAAGAAATTCTCTTATGGGAAACTTTTGCTGCAGAGAGGTCAGTCAAAAACAATTACCTCAATTGCTCCCTGTGCCCAGTTTCAACCACAACATCTCACAATACAGTTATTTGTGGCACAGTGCCTCTGTAAGCCATTCAGATTTCTTTGATGATAACTATCCTCATCCATCTGCTTTGGAGTTGTGGCGGGTGCCAAACCCCAGTCCCAGACTCAAGTACATCAAAGTGTATTCAGCAATTGATTTATACACAGGTTTTGAGGAATGTATTACACTGAATAGGATGAAATTTAATAGTGATGAATGTAAACCTTTCCATCTGTGCTGAAAAACTAAAAGTAGTCCTATGGAATGAGGAAGTGCTGACTTGTCTTGATTTTTTGAAATCTTTTTCTTCTTTAGTAGTCCCACCCAAATTGGGGGACTTGGGTGAGGATACTGAAGAATACCTACCAAGTCTGCAGAGATTATTATCACAGATACCAACGATTGGATTAAAACTTTTTTGAAAATGATATTTTTACTACTTAAAAATGACAAAATATGTTCTCTTTGGCATATATTTCATATTATTTTATAATAATCAATATTTTGTACTATATTTTATAAGAAATGAATGCTGATGCAAAAACTTGCAATTGTTATTAAATGAGTAAATGAATATGTCACATATTTAGATTATATAACAATTTAGTATGTTTATCCAGGGGTGAGATTCTCCCCATGTAACAACCGGTTCGCTAATCACGTGCTGTGTGTGCGTGCACAGCTATTGCAATTACTTACCTTCAATGTTATTTCAGAGAAGTAACACAGCTGAGGCGCGACAATCCACTCTGCCGCATGAATCGGCTGAGCAGATATAGGTGAGTACAGCGCAGGGATGAGCGGGCGGGCCCACATAGTCATTGGATCAAACTGGTTTGGAGCCAGCTGGCTCACCCAAACTGGTCCAAACCGGGAGAATCCCACGCCTGTGTTTATTCCCAAGAGTTTATTTTGCTTTGTTATATTTTTTTTTCATTTGTTTTGGTATTACAATTTTGTACCTAATTTGTTAGGTATTCCAATTTTCTTTTCATTTCTTTTTATATATTGTTTTATTTCTATTCCTTATTTACAAATTACAATAAAATTTAAAACATATATACAAAGAAATCCCAGAAAGGAAATCCAAATAAATAAATTAGAAGGATGGAAGGGGACTAGGGAACTAATTAAATTAGCCACCAACCCCAAATTGTTAAATGGACAGCATATGAATTTACTCAGTCAATTATCAATCACACTAATTTTTTTCATGTGCTGATTAAGTAATTAGAAGTTTAATCTCAAGTCATCTAGAATAGCTTCTAAAATTCAAAGAAAATAGGTACCTGTTCTGTTCGAACACTGAAAAATGTGCAAAAACTTTTATCACAAATAAGTAATCTTTCTTTAAAAATAAGGGCAGGCTAGATTGTGCAATGTTAACATATTACCAAATTGATATATTACTCCACTATAAAAATATATAATTCTGTAAAATTAAATCTTCAGTTAGCCATTTCTGTAAGATATACCAATTTTATTTTCTGTGAAATAATTGATATATTAATCAAAAAATTCAAACATGTCAGGAAAACCTCAAAACTAGGAGATTAATGGATGAAGTCAAGGATGCACATTTTTTTTCAAGCAAGGATTATATTTGCATTCTTGAAGTATGGTAGAAGTCACACAGGGGTCAGGAGAAAAAAAAATTTCATTTAGCTTTCATTAAAATGTAAACTTAAATGTAAACTGAATTACATATTATTCATAATAAAATGTATTTATACATCTGATATTAAACATTAGAAATAATTTTTTAGAGTTTTTCAGAGCCATACTCAAATATTTCCAGGGTGGCAGGAAACTGTAGGGGCTCTAGTTGTTTCTCTTTAAATAATCTCCATAGTCTTTCTTATTGTATAATTCTTTTAGATATTTTGGGGGCTTCTTATTTCAAACTAATAAAATTTATTACAAATTCATAGACACAATCATCCAAAGGTAACCAAATTTAGTTATCTGCATACATTTTACATTTAAAAGAGATAAAGCTTCTGTGAATACTATCTTGACTTTCTTAATCTTCCGCATGTATATAACTTTATCTAGGAGATTCACATCCAGTATCTATTTAGCATTAAAAGGTGAGGAGGAAAAAAAGGAAGTAGCATTTTTGTAATTATAAAATTACCTCAGCCACATAATTAATAGCATCCTTCAAGTTGAGCTCACGGAAAACTTTAAGAATATGATCTCTAGTTTTCTGGGCAGATCTTCTCATAAGTATTTTGCTAAGGTTCTGTCTTTCAAAATTGGTCCATCTAAGGATACAAAGAGATAACATGCAATAGTAATATATTAAAAGGATTTGTTGAACATTTTATTTGCATTACCAGGACTTTTATCTCATGCTAGTAACACCCCAATCAATATATTTATTATCTTTATAACAGGTTTAGAACATTAAAAGAAACTTTTAAAAATAATACTTGGGAGTATAATATTCATAAGCCTTCCTATATTGATAACAATTTGTAAATTTGTAAAAAGGAACTTTGCTATCAATACAGAATTAGGACACTAAAAATGGAAGAAACTGACTATGCATTCAGTATTTACCATCCAAATACTAGCCAGGTATAATCCTGCTTAGTTTTTCAAGATGAAGAAAATTCAACTAAAAAATAGCCCTCAACTTACAAATATTCATTCAGTGAGCAAAATTACAACAATGCTGAAAAAATGGAGTAGAAACCCATCCCCCAAATTATAGCCATTACAATGCCGCTGTAGTTATGTGATGAAGATTTGAGCATTTAGCAGCCTGCTGCAACTCCACCAAACCACTTATCTCCCCTCAATCTATCCCTTTTTCAACACCCTACACAGCAACACTTGTTTGATAGCAGTATCAGGGTTAGGATTGAAGTGGAGGCTGGGTGTAGAGCAATCTCAGCTGCCCCAACCTTCAGGCTTCTATTTCAGTTTTAACACCACTACTGCCATTCAGATATGTGGCCACAAGTCCCACACCATGGGCAGTCATGCCAGCATTGTTGCACAAAGCCCAGTTGTTCCTGTCATTCTTACACTCCACAGGCTGTGCTGTACCCTGCTGATGTTTGCTACCTCATGCTATTCTCCAAACCATACATCCCTTTCCTTCTCAAAGTTATATGTCACATTCTCATAATCCTTTTGGTCTTCCCCGGATATCATGAGAATGGGCTCCAGTCCTGCTATTCTCCAAATAACATCTTGCTTTATGACCACATTGCTTACAGATGAAAGTTCATTGGTCCCAACTGCGGCCATTACAAAGATTACCCATATTTCTCTTGACTAAGACTAATAACAGTAAAAAGATTTGTTATCCAGTATGTTTCATTCTGAATACTTTTAAGTATCAGGCATCCATACTTCAATATCTTACTATTAAGTAACCTTTTTGTATTCATTCCAAATCAACTTACTTGTCCCTCAAGTAATTGTGTCCTATTTGACCAGATATATCTTCAATAGCTGAAAGAATATGATCAAAGGCCTGCAAAATAAAAAATATTTATGACTTCATTTTATAATAAAAAAATAATGTAAAACACTTTAAGTAATCAAGTAATCAGTTATCTTCAGACTAATTAGAATATTTTGCTTCAATATCTCACTATCTAGACCAAGGGTGTCAAACTCGATTTCATTGAGGGCCACATCAGGGCTGTGTTTGACCTCGGGGGCCAGGGTATGTGTCACCAGGGTATGTGTGGCCAGCTTGACGTCACTCATTTCAGGGATGCCTGTGGTGGCCTGAGCACTCTGCCAGTGAAAACAGGCTGCTGCGTTCTGAGTCCACGATAGCCTCCTGCAACCCTTTGCCAGTGAAAATGGAGCTCAGGTGGGCCTTGCATGTCCCCCGGGCCCCGTTTCTAGCTGCAATGGACTTCTGCAGGCCTCTGCGAGCAAAAATGGAACTCCATATGGAAGATTCAGGCACTATTATGGACAATGGTTCTATGAAAAAGAAAACTGTTTTACCTGTATCCAATAAAAATACAATTATGATACATCTTAAATACAGAGCTATCAAAAGAAGTCAACACAGGTAGCCATTTATTTATAGAAGAACTTTCACATTTTATTCATTTTATTTTATTCTATCACTTTGGAAGTGTAATTAACTAAATCTGGAATTTTAATGTAACTGTTATTAATTAATTGAATTTGTAATAATAGCAGGACAGGTGTTTGTATTCTTTCAGGCTCAAGCCTTAGTTTATCCAAAATAAAATTATTATTTTTCCTTTTGTAAACATTTTATAGTCTTTTACACGTCTACCAACGTATATAGTTCATCTTTGTAACCATACACTAGGTATGTACAGTAGAGCAGCCCTGTAGATAAAATGCCTTATATCAGACTTTTTCTTCCATTCAAATGTGTCTGATTACTGGACATTGACTGGACAAATTCCTGCAGTTTTCTTGGCAAGGATTGAAGTGATTTGCTATTGCCTTCTTCCTAGGGCTGAGAAAAAGTAAGTAGGCTTGGCTGGCTTGCTATCATCTATCTATCTATCTATCTATCTATCTATCTATCTATCTATCTATCTATCTATCTATCTATCATCCAGCTATCTATATAACAAACAATACAAGCTTCAAATTACCCAAGCTTATGCACCAACAATGAGTTACAATGATGATGAGGCAGAAGAGTTTTATGATGATGTAGCCCATCTTTAAGACAAAGAAAAATGTTAGTACAAAATACTAATGGATGACTTTAATGCAAGAATAAGAAGAACAATAACTGGAGAAGAAGCGACTGGCCCTTATGGATGTGGTGAACGAGATAATAGAGGCAATAGACTCTATATTTTGCTGAAGGGCAGGAACTTTATATCATTAACCTCATTTTACAAGAAAAATATAAGCAAAATTGACTACATCATTGACAAAACCATATTTCAAAATTGTACTGTCATCAATCACTTTAATGTTGAAAGTGACTATAGAATAGTATGAGCTAAAATGAAGATAGACTATGAAAAGAGCATATGAAAATGATAAAAATATCATGAAAAGTGAAAATAAAGAGTTTTAAGTTATTAGAGAAGGCAGTGATTTTGAGATTAATTTATAAAATTGCTTCGCTCTATTGCAAGATTTGGAAGAGAAGGAGATTATTGACCAAAATGAACAAATAGTAAACAACAGCATGTGATCGTGAGAACAGGCTTTTCCAAGGCCAGTCGTAGAGGGAAATAGAGATGCTGAAGTGATTTTTATACTCAATGCTGAAATGCTGAAGTGATTCTTATACTCAAGAAAAGGACACAAGATGACTTAAAGGACTATTGCCCAATAAGCTTTTTTTCAGTCATCAACAAGGTTTTCACCAAAATAATAGCAAAAAGAACATTGAGAACATTAAATGATGCACAGCCAGAGGAGCAAGCAGGGTTCAGAAGTAGCTCCAGCAAAGTGGATCATACCCAAGTTGTTCAGCAAACTGAACAACTGAAAGGCACAATGTATACATCATGCCTTTGTGCATGGCTTGCATTGACTACAAAAAGGCATTTGACTCAGTATTCCAGAAAGCAATAATCAATGCATTGCTTAACCAAGGTGTAAACACTGCTTACATAAATTTACTGCAATCAATTTATGAAAAAACAATGACAACAGTTTGCCGTATTGATCTTAAAGTGGAAATCAATGTAGAACAAAGTGTATGACAAGGCGATACAGTATCATGTATCATTTTCTCAGCCTGCCTTGAAGAAATATTTTGTAAACTAAACCGTATGAAAGATGGATTAAAATCAGTGGTGTCTATTTAAATCACTTAAGATTTGCAGATAATGTTGTTCTCTTCCCACAAGATTCAAAAGAACTACAAAGACACATACAAGATTTGTACAAAGCAGGAGAATCATTTGGCTTAAAAATAAACCTGAAAAAGAGCCTGGTTAAGAAAAAATATGTATCTGGAGAAGAACTAGATGCAATAGACCACTATATATACCTTTGCCAATGGATCTCAATGGAAGGTGGTACAATAAAGGAAACTGAATGGCGTATTAAATGTGGTTGGCAGGCATTCACAAGTTAAGCATGATTTTCCCCCTATGCCTAAAGAGAAAAGTTCTCAATTAGTATGTGCTACCTGTTTTAACATGTCAGTGAAACATGGACACTAACCTCACAATTCATATAAAAGCTATGAGTGGTGCAAAAATCTATGGAAAGATACATGCTCAGCATCACAAGACTAGATAGAACAACCTGTACATAGATTAGGGAACAAATAATGGTATATGATAACATCAAGACAGCAAAAGAATTGAAATGGAAATGGGCTGGTCACATAACAAGAAGAACTGATGGCAGATGGACTAAGGCAATCATAGAATGGACTCCAATTTGATAAAAACCATCCACAAAAGAGACCTAAAACATGAGCAATCGACAACATCAGCAAGTATTGTGTGCCTAATTGGTAAAAAAAAACACCTTCAAGTGAGCCAGCAATGTATTGTATCAACAATGGATATTATCAAGATCATGTGAAGTATTAGTACCTCTTTATACTGCTTTGGTAAGACCATATTTGGCTATTGAGTTCAGTTTTGGTCACCATGATACAAAGATGTTGGGATGAGTATAGGGAATAACAATAAAGATGATTATGGGGTTGGATACTACACACATGATAACTGGGTATAATCTAGTCTAACAAAGAGAAGGACTGGGGCAGTATGATAAACAGTTCTCCAGTATTTGAGGGGCTATCACAGAGAAGAAGGGGTCAACCTATTCTCTAAAACACTTGAGGGCAGGACAAGAAGTAATAGATGGAAACTTATCAAAGAGAGATCTAATCTAGAATGAAGCAGAAATTTCTTGATAATGAGAACAATTAATCAGTGGGAATGACTTGCCTCAAGAGATTGTGGCGCTCCATTGCTCATTGGAGATTTTTAAGAAGAGATTGTCTGGAATGGAATATGGTTTCCTGCCTGAGCAGGAGACTAGAAGAACTTCAAGGTCTCTTCCAACTCTATTGTTCTGTATTTTATACATACATACATACATACATACATACTACTTTACAGTAAAGAAAATGTATACAGATCATTCTCACTTATTGACAGTCACATGCTGTGTCCATATGATGGTCTAAGAAATTTTTTTGCAACTTACCCTTGCATTTTACAGCTGAAGCTAGAGAAATGCCCTTTTGGCAATGACTTTCACCTGCTACTCCAGCTGGCACCACAAGTCTAAGAAGTTCCTCAAATCACAGATCTGTTCTTTTAGGATAAGTGTATCCACATCCAGAGCTAATGTTGGAATTGAGCTGATTATTCACCAACAAATGATTAATTCATCTAGCAGAGATTTAATTTCAGTTAAATTAATTTCAGCAAAACTTAGTCACCGAACTGGTATTAACACCGGTTGGCCACAAACGTATTAACAAGAGAGATCAGAGCAGCAAGAAGAAGCTACTCTGAAAAGTTAAGGAATCAGTTCTCAACAAAGGAACCAGCAAATGTGTGGAAAACTCTTAAAAACATCACTGACTACAGCAAACCTCCTTCCCAGGCAGAAGGAAATCAACAACTAGCGGATGAGCTGAATGTGTTTTACTGCAGGTTTGAAAGGAAACTACAGCCACCTATCTCCACAACCCACATCTCAAACACACCAACAACTGACAAGCCTCCTACAACTGACCCTAACCCATTAGATTCACAACCTCTGATGATCACAGAAAAAGAAGACCAAGATCTATTTCACAGACAAAAGCCAGGAAAAGCACCAGGGCCAGATAAGATGACTCCTTCTTGCTTAAAAGTCTGTGCTCACCAATTGGCCCCCATCTTCACCTGAATCTTCAATAGATCACTAGAGATTGTGCTATGTTCCTTCTTGCTTCAAATGCTCTACTATCATCCTAGTGCCAAAGAAGCCCTCCATCAGGGAACTGAATGACTACAGACCAGTTGCTCTAACATCTGTAGTTATGAAAACTTTTGAAAGGCTTGTGTTGTCCCACCTGAAAACCATCACGGATCTGCAAACTGCATAGATCCCATGCAATTTGCATACTGAGCAAATAGATCGACAGATGATGCTGTTAAAATGGCTCTGCACTATATCCTACAACACAACTAGACACAACTAGACACCAGACAGTTTTATCCCAAATGCTATCATCTGTTAAACAAATAATCCCCTCAACTCTGTCCAACTATTTACAATGTCTGCACTACTACTCATATTAATCTTCTCATCACCCCTTAGTGCCCATCCCCTCCCACTTGTGACTGTATGACTGTAACTTTGTTACTCGAATCCTTAGGATTTATATTGACTGTTTCCTAGTATGATTTGATTATTTATTCTATCCTATGACTATTATGAAGTGTTGTACCTGATGATTTTTGACTCTTGACGAATGTATCTTTTCTTTTATGTACACTGAAAGCATTTGCACCAAAACAAATTCCTTGTGTGTCCAATAAAGAATTCTATTCTATTCTATTCTATCTGAGGCAGGGACTTTTCTTTCTGCAGATGCAGCATGTATATTTACTATTATTTCCTTTACTATTATTTTCCTTCACATTGCAAAGGAGCAAAAGAATTTCTCAACATTTTAAACATTAATATGAAAGATATACAGTTTATTTTATTGATTAAATGTTTGTGCTATCCATCTCCACGATAGTGACTCTATCACAATGGTAGTACATTATTATTTAAAAGTAGCTTGCAGTAAGTTCTAGCTCCTTAAACTATGTTTCTTTGGGACATAAATTAGCTTACCCTGCTATGGAGCTTCTCATTCAGTTTGGGTTCTCTGTGTTCACTTTTTTTCACCTTCAACCACTGCACTAAAGGTTTGATTGTTAAACCCTTTGAAGGAAAATGAACAAATTACCTTAGTTTTAATTAAAAAAAACATTGCACATTTAAAGGATGAAAAAAGGAATGAAATGTGCATATCACTAAATAAAGATACTGATTTAGGTAATCTTTCATATATTGTTAGACTGGCTATGGTTAGGAAATGAATACATTTTGACACCTGACTGATAGATTATTCTATTTACTTCAATACACATTCTGCCTTTTCCAACGAAGTTCTATCCCTATATAAATATAATACATAAATTTCCTCATGTTTGGTAATTTGGTGTTGATAATATAGTATTCTGGAAACATTTTTAATGACAGTTCTTTGCCCACAAGAAAATAAGTCTATCTACTTCCTTATTGGTAAAACACTTTTCATATTTTTAAAAGAATATATAACATATTTGCAAATAAACATGTCTTCACAAAATTTGCTACAATAATGTTGTAGTGTTTCTAATTAAAATCAATGGTTCATTATCATTGAAATTAGAAACCAATATTATAGAAACTGTGTTAAAGAAAACCAAATAGCAAATTTCCTTTTGCAAATGGCTGAAATGGTTTGCCTTGCTTATATAGCTCTCATAAAATAATAATGTTCATTAAAAATATGTATTCTCATTTATGACAGACATTTAAATTTTTATGTGGGAAAATGTAACAACTTACATGGGAAAATGTAAAATAGGAATTTTACATTTATGAACCTTTATTGAAAATTTAAAACATTAAATACAAAATACAATGCAAATATTTAAAATGAAAGTGTTTTGTATATTACAATCCATTTTGACAGTGCTTATATATATATACTATCTTTCTAAATTATACATTCCTTATTTATTTAATTGCTTGTTTCTATTATTTATCCAATGATAGCAATTTTCCCAAACTGTATAATAATCTGAGTCTTCCTTCTCTTTTAATTCTAATGAAAGTTTGTCGATTTCTGCACAATCAAAAATCTTTTGGATAATTAAACTATCTGTCGGCATAGAATCTCCTTTCCAACGTTGTGCGAGTGCTAATCTTGCTGGTGTTATTATATGCAGGATTAGATATTTTATCTCTTTCGTATAATTCCCTTTGATAATTCCCAGGAGAAATATTTCTGCTTTAAATTCTATTTGGATTTTTGTAATTTCCTTTAACCATTTTTGTATTTTGGTCCAATATTTCTTGATTTTTGTACATAGCCACCATACGTAAAAGAAGATACCCTACACTTGCTTACATTTCCCACAACTTGGGCTTAAATTAGGATACATTTTAGCCAATCTCAAAGGGGCTAGATATCACTGGTAGCACATTTTATATTGATTTTTTTTATATGTCATTGATTTTGTCACTGTATAATTTGTTTTCCAGATCTTTTCCCAGTCCTCCAGCTCTATATTATGTCCTAAATTCCTGCCCCAGGCTATCATCGGTCCTTTCACTATTTCTTCTGCCATATCATATTTTAATAAATAGTTATATATCTGATATCAATTTTTCCTTTGTACCTACCAATAGTTTATCTAGTTGATTTGGTTCTATCTCATTTCCAAATTCCTCTTGGTCTTTTTTATATTTTGATTTTAATTGAAGGTATGACATCCAGTCTATATTTAGTCCCAGATCTCTTAATTCTTGATTGGTCTTTAGTGCTCCTTGGGGATCCAAAATTTCATAATATCTGGCCATTCTTCCTAAATCTAATGTATTGGGGTGTATCATTGCCTCCATAGTGGATACTCATCCCAGAATTTGTATATGTTTATGTTTAATTTCTTCCCATATTCGTATTAGAGAGTCCCTTGGCATATGTCTATGGAAATATGTATGGGCCTTATGTCCGGGACTCCACATGAAGACATGCTACCCCGCCTGTAAATTGTGCTCTTCCAGAAATAGAATTCTTTTATTTCTTAAGTTTACCCATTCTCTAATCCATGTTAGGCCTGCTGCTTTGTAGTAAATTTCCCAAGCTGGGAGTCCAAAGCACCTCTGCTTCTATTATCCTGCAATGTACTTAATTTTATTCTTCCTCTTTTGCCTGCCCATGCAAATTTGTAGTTATTTTGTTTAGATCTGAAAAAAAAAATCTTGTCTAATTTCACAAGGATCATTTGAAACAGGTAAAGTAGTTTTGCAAGAATATTTATCTTAATGGCCGCAATTCTTCCTAACAAAGATAACTGTATTTTTGCCCACCCTTCCAAATCTTTTTTTATTTGTTGTACTAAACTTATGTAATTATCGTCTTTTATTGATGAGCATTTCGCTGTTAGCCAGATATCAAATACTTAACTTTCTTTGCAGCCTGCAATCCTATTCCTTTCTCTAATTCCCTCTTTGGTTCATCTGTTAGATTTTTAATGACCCCAAAACATTGCAACTGTTATAAACATGAGTCAGTTGCCAAGTATCTGAATTTTGATCATGTGACCCTGGGGATGCTGCAACAGTCATAAGTTTAAAAATGGTCATAAGTCACTTTTTTCAGTGCTGTTTTAACTTCAAACAGTCACTAAATGAACTGTTATAACTCAAGGATTATCTATGCAACCTTTTACCCTCTGTGACAAGGATTTTTATTTTAGGAAAAACTGAATTGTATACCTGGAATATTACAGTGAAAAATACAACTATGAGAGTTGTGCTGACAAACAGGTTTTTATCTTGCACTTTGTTTTCATCCAAAAGTACAACTAAGGCAAAGGCAACAGCACCACGGAGACCACCATATGACATTACTACTTGGTCTATTATTCCCAGCTGTACCATTCGATAGCGATTTAGAATCCAAGTCTGTAGAATTACACCTGTTTAAACAGAGTAACAAAGATATCAGAATAACACACATTTCATTGAGAATTAGGACAGATTTGATGAAGAGTTGAAGAACTGGGTGGGGGGAGGGAAAGATTTTAAAAGTTAAGAAAGAGTTAAGATAAAAAAAGTTAACTACATTAGAATAAAAACATAGCAATAATACACAAATTACAGATTAAATAAGAATAGAAATAGTTAGAAACAGGGGTAGGCATCAAATTTTTTAGCAACGGGGGCTCTACACGGTTGCTGGGTGGGCGTGGCCATGGTGGGTGTGGCCTCCTGCACCACGGTGGGGGGGAGGGATGGTTTTGCCCTCTCCGGGCTCTGGAGGCTTTTTTCGAGCCTCCGGGAGGGTGAAAAAGGAGGCTCTCTGGAAGCCGGAAATGGCCCCATTTCTAGCCTTTCTGAACTTCCAGGAGGCCTGTTTTTTGCCCTCCCTGAGCCTCCGCATGCACTCTGCACTTACCTGAATCCAAAACAGGCCGCATGGGGACTCCTGAGAGGAATGGGGCAAGGTGGGTGGGGCCAGCCAGGAATGGGATTTAGGGGTTCTCCGAACTGTGCAGAATCTTAGCTAAAGGATCTCCTGAACCCTCGAATCCCCAGCAGCCCAACCGTGGTTAGAAACTAGAAATCCATTTTTTGTACAGGAAAATATTTTTTTGTGGATAGAACACAGTCTATCCTGGACTTGCTAACATGCAACCCAGTGGCTCTATAGAAAGCTTTCCAAGCAGTTAACCTTTCTTGTCAATGAAGGAGACAGTATTTCATTATCTAATCTTTACAAAATGCTGCAAATTCAGGTAACACTAGAATAAAATAAAAAATGGCATATGATTACAAGAATAGGCACACAAACACATGAATAACATAATAACTAGCAGCCTGATCCATAAAAGAGACCATGTGCTCTTAGGTATCATATGACCTACCTGCTGTCTTAGGCTATATAACTATCCCTACACCCTACAGTGCCTAAACTGCCTAAAGGTGTGAAAGGATACATTTCTCATGTGTGATATCTCCAGATGAGATTGGAGTTTAAGAACTGTAAGCTGCTTCTCTGCAGGGAAGTTGAGGCTGGAATAACCTCACTTCCCTTCTCTTTTTCATCAATGCTTATAATAGGAAGTGATGAGACAGGAAAGAGGAAGTATGTAATAATTCCTAAACACTTCCTAGTGAAAGGAATATGCTGCATCTGTTTTGGCTGGTAGGGAAAACTAGCTAAATGCAAAACACATTACTATTTTGAAGGCAGAATACCATACATTTGAATACAGAACAAGTACTTAAAATAGAAATGTGCTCATGTCCTGCCAGAGCAACAAATATTCTGGGGACAGGACAGTCTTCTGGTCTGTCCCATATTAAGAAAATACAAATACTAATACTTCTATTTAATTAATATTAAGAAAGGTAAACCAATCCTCTTACCAATGATTCTATAGATAGAGATGAAAATCACTGTCAGGAGTATGAAAGCAGTGTTCCAAGTCCAGATTTTAGGATTAACAGCAGAAATTCCCAGGAACATAAAAATAATAGTTTCTGCACCACTTGCTAACATTTTCATGGAGTATCTCACAGTGGTAGAAGATCGATCTGAAATATTTGCTTTGACATATTTCTGACAGCAGATACCACAGAACGTTATCCTGGAAAAATACATTGAACATTTTAGTCATGTATCTTTGTGATCTCTTTTCTAAATTGTATTTTTTGTTAAACTAATAAGAAGTATAAATAAAAAATAAATATATCTGTTGTATAATGCATTAGCTGGCACCCCAGTTATGACTGTAAGAAGACTTCATATCACATTGTCTGGATGCTCCTTTGGAAAGATGATTTTCAGAAGAGGAAAATGGAACAAGGCATGATGGGATAGGAAGGAGGCCCAATATTGTGAGACCCAGCAGGGTAGGAAACTGTACAAGAGGTGCCTCAGGGTAGTAGAGGCTCTGGGAAGCCAGACACAGACCATATATGAGCCTGAGTTTGCTCTGGGCCACCCTGATATGTTGAGGCACCCCATGCTCTACTTCGTGATCTGTGCAGTTGCTAAATCACCACAATGTTAAACTGGAATTGTAGTTATTAAGTAAAGCACCTCTAACACTGCTAAGTTGTTAAGTGGGCACCTCTTAACATCTACAACAACCTATGACTATGATTTTGGGCTCCATTATAAGTCGAGAACTACCTGTATAGCCATGAGACATAAGAAAATTCCATTCATGCATCTTTGTAATATTCTGATGTTTTGAAATGTTATTGGATTATATCCGGGTTTATTTGTGAAAAGAATCAGCAGCTTTATGACCTTGTATTTGGAACACTTTGTAAGTAGAAGGAACTTGCATATTACCCATAATTTTAGAATTTGTGAAAAGCCAAAAGGCAACGTCTTAACTGACCATGTAAATCCCCTTCTTGATATTCTGCTTCTTCCTCCCTGTTGGATTTATTATTAAAGTATCAATTTATAATTAATTTACACATCAATACCTCTGGTTTACCTGCTCAGCTATCTGGATTCTACACCTGGACTATGTATGGCAGCCAGCTAGATAGTCCTGAATTCAGAGAAGAATTCATATAGACTCACATTTTGTATTCACATATAGGAATTATTTCTTTTTGTGTTCTGTAGCTAAATCTTTTTATGTGTACAATGTAAATAGTTGTGTAAACTGATTCTCAACATGAATACATACATTTTAAACTCTTAAATATAGCTTACTTTTTCAAGTTAGTGAGAAACTGTAAATTAAATGACAACTTCCTCTATTTAAAAAACATAATAGAAACTTACGCAAGAATGGCAGATAATGAGAGCATCTCAGCTGTCAAGTAGGAGAGATAAGAAATGACAAATACAAATCCAGGTTCAATTATTCTGACATGCTTTGTGAAACGAGTGACAAACGAGAGCAGAAATGCAAACACAATGCCAATAAAAGTACCTCCAAGGCTCACCACAAAGAAGGATACTGCAATAAAATCACATAAAAATTGAACTTTGTTAAAATAGAATAGAATAGAGTAGAACAGAACAGAATAGAGTATACAATAATTGAATTGGAAAGGACTTTGAATGTCTTCTAGTTCAACCCTTGTTCAAGTAGGAGATCTATACCATTTCAGAAAAATGGCTGACCAATACCTTCTTAAAAATCTTTTAAAAACATGGATATTTGATCCAGGATGAATTACTGTTAACTTTTGGGATGATTTGGGATAATAAGATGTCATGGAAAGTTTCCTATGTCTTGATTACAATAACAGTTTATTAACAGACGGTTTTGAAAGTTTAACTTTGTCTTTTTTATTATTATTGTTTTTCCTGTTAGTTGTTTTATCATTAATATAATATATAGACAGATTAGCAATTTGCCGACAGATTTAGTAGTTTAAAAATCTTTTAGGTCTGTTTTGCAAGGGGTGAAATTAATATTGTAGTAATGTAGTATTCAACTTTAATATAATAATATGTATATAGGTGTGAGGGATTTTGCAATCTATTTCATACATTTTAGTTTCTAGAGTCTCAACATCTTTTTTCTATCATGGTGACAAAAATATTCCAAGTGTGGTCTTACTAAGGCATTATAAAATGGCAGTAACACTTCTCATGAACTTGATTCTATTCATCTGTTAATGAAGCCAAAGACTGTGTATTTTGGCAGCTGCAGCACAGTGTTGGCTCATATTTAAGCGGTTGTCCATTAGGACTCATAGATCCTTCCCACATTTACTACTATTGAGCCAGGTACCACCTATTCTGTACCTGTGCATTTGGTTTTTCTTGCCTAAATGTAAAATCTTACTTTACTCACCACTGAATTTCATTTTGTTGGATAGGGGACCAATGTTCAAGTCTGTCGAGATCCTTCTGGATCTTGAGCTTATCTTCTAAAGTGTTGGCTATTCCTGCCAGCTTGGTGTTATCGCAAATTTCATAAGGTCCCTTTCTATCTCCTCATCTAAGTTGTTTATGAAGATGTTGAAGAGTACTAGTCCTAAGAGAGAAACTTGCGATACTGGGTACCGCACTATGTACTTTCCTGCAAGTAGATGTAGTTCCAGTGAGACTACAGATTGAATGCAGTTGGTCAGCCAGTTATGAATCCATATAGTGGTGGTGCAGTCTATTCCATATTTTTCTATCTTACCAGATAGTATGTTGTGGTTCACTGCCTTACTGAGTTTTAGTTACTTTTTCTCTTTAATAGAGTTCATACAAAAATCCAATACAGTTTATGTATATATGGTAAGTATCCATGATTGGAACACATAAGCAGAAGATATAAATTGTTCAAAAGAAATCAAGCCATCAAGCTGAAAGAAAGTCTTGAATGGTATTGAACAGAGTGTTGGACTAGAAGACTCCAAGATTCTTTCCAACCCTAACCCTATTATTCTATATTCTGTGTTCTAAATGGCAATAAACTGTCTGTTTGCAAAGTATGCTCATGGCTCCTAGCCCCAAACTTGTTAGGCAGACAGCCAGCACCAGAACATTCTTTTCAATGTATATTTCAATTGTGTGCCTTCTTATTGACTTGTTGTAATCCCTTATTTTCCAATCACTCCAATCTACAAGAAGAAAAATAAGAGGGAGGGGAAAGGTCCAGCTTAGGACAACATGTATTAACTCTTTATAATGGTGAATATATGACTGAAAGAGATGTTGCAAAGGTCAAAATATTTGCCTTGCAAAGTTATGACTGTTTAAATATTAATTTCTGCTTTCCAATATATATTATTTACAAGGCATTTACAAGTATTTCATAAATATATGTTAAGAACATATTAATATATATTTATGAAATACTATCTGTCCGTCTGATTGGCTCGCTCTGTCTATCTATCTATCTATCTATCTATCTATCTATCATCTATCATTATAAATAGCTACCAACCTATGCCTTTTATGCATTCTACACCGGTCACATATTCAGCTCCTATTGAAACAAAAGACTCAAACACATTATACAGCACCTAGAAGGGAAATAAAATTGTAATTTCATGAATAAACAATATGAGACAAAATTAAAATAAATTAGAATATTCATTTAAATATCTGTAAACAAACATTTATGAAATGCTTATGCAGAAAGGTTTTGTTTCCTCTCCATTCAATTGGATCTGATTCTCAGAGATTGCCTGGACAAGTCTCTACAATTTTCTTGCAAAGTTTTGCCTAAGGTGGGACTAGAACTCACACTCCCCCAGTTTTTAATCAGATGCCTTAATTGCTATACCAAACTGGCTTCCATATTCAATATCTTAGCAAATATCAAATGTATCAAAATCATATTAAAAAGCTAATATATTTTACTTTATAAGGAATACAGTAAAACAAGGATAGGGATATTTTAGTGTATATGAAATACAGTAAAAAAAGGTATGCGGAAACTCTAGCTAGTAGTATCACTCAATCTGATCACTCGATATTTTATATGTGAGGGAGGAGGTGTTAGAAAATTATGAGGCAAAATAAAGTGTCTTAAGTATCTAAAAATAATTTAAAACATCTAATTTTATCCTTAACAGTATATTAAAAAATTCACAAAGGTCAGTGGGAACCAGAAAATGGATTGTCCCTATGTAGTGTTCCACTTTTTGTACATGTGGGAAATGTTTTTTTAAAAAGGGTGTGCAGGCTAAAATTGTTCCCCAATCAGCCTGATAAATTAATTGATTACTTTCCAGTTTAGAACATAAAATAATAATGGAAGAAACCTTGTTGGAAGGATCCTTGAAGATCTTCTAATTCAACCCCTGCACAAGCTGGAGATCCTATATTATTCCAGACAAATGGCTGCTTGTTGGCAGTGACTGAAAATCTACAGTAATTGAGCACCTACAATTTCTGGAGGCAAGCCATTCCACTGATTAATTGTTCTCACTATCAAGAAATTTCTCCTTTGTTTTAGGTTAAATCTCTTTTTACTGATCTTCCACCTACTACCTATTGTCCTGCCCTCAAGTGCATTGGAGAATATCCTTTGTGATAGCTCCTCAAATATTGGAAGACTGCTATCATATCACTCTAGTCTTTCTCTTCATTAAACTAGACAGTTCCCTAGCTCCCTTAATTATTTATTGTAGAATTTAGTTTCCAGACCCCGATCATTTTTATTTACCATATTTTTTGCACTATAAGATGCACTTCCCCAAAAAAGTGGGTGGAAATGTTTGTGCATCTTATAGAGCGAATGTTGAGGTGAGGGAGGGGGGTTGGTGCGCCGCCGCTGATGGGAATCACTGGAGCCTTCACTGATGAGTAGCTGTTTGGCAGTTGGATCAGCCTCCTGGAATACCGCTGATCACGTGTTCTAAGCGATGGGGATTGCCACCGCTACTGCCTATCACCGTCTATTTGTCGCCACCTATTCACTGCCCCATTTGCCACTGCCTGCTCACCTCTGCCTATTCGCTGCCGATGAGCAGTTTGGAATGAACAGGTGGCAAACCGATGATGATAGGTGGTGGTGGTGATCCCTGCTGCCTAGAACAGATGATCAGCTGTATTCCAGGAAGCCGATCCAATTGCCAATCAGTTGCTTGGCAGCAAAGGCTCCAGCATTCCCTGACGGCAGCAACAGTTGACCGGTGGTGGTGCAATGGAGCAGAGCCCTGATGAGTTACATGCTGGGACTGCAATAATGTGCTGAAGCTGGCCTGCTGTTTTTTTATATTTTTTATTTATTTGATTTGTCAATCACTTACAAGATAATAGGTATAAGTATAAACATAGCTATGAATACATGCAATGGATACATATAAGAAAAATAAAAATAAACAATAGGACAGGGACAGTAGGCACTGTTGGTGCACTTATGCATGCCCCTACAGACCTCTTAGGAAAGGGGTGAGGACAATAGTAGACAGTCTAAGGTTAAAGTTTTGGGGGCTTGGGGAAGAAACCACAGAGTCAGGTAGAGTATTCCAGACATTCACCACTCTGTTGCTGGTCATATTTCCTGCAATTTTCCTAAGTTTGTTGTGGTTATACCGGGTGGATGCTGGGAAGCAGAGGCAGATTTTTTTCCCCTTGTTTTCCTCCTCTAAAGCTAATGTGAGTCTAATAGTCTGGAGCATCTTATAGTGTGAAAAATATGGTATTTATTTATTTATTGCTCTTCTCTACATTCTTTCTAGGGCCTCAGCAACTTTTCCTATTTTGGCAGCCAGGACTGGACTCAATATTCCAAGTGTGGCCTCACTACTCACTAGTAAAGTGCTATTATTTCTTGTGATCTTGATATTATTACTCTGATGATATTTTAAACATTATTACTTCATATCATTAATTGGCAAATCTATATTTCTTAAACCTAAGTTTATCAATACACTTCTGATCAATCAGAATTTCAGAGACCGCAAGTTTTCAAAGAGAGTCTTACCACAGTTACAGCATCATTGAGTAGTGATTCTCCAAAAACAATTATGAAGAGAACATCATTGACATGAACTTCTTCAAACACAGCAATCACAGCAACAGGATCCACTGCAGCTATTAAACTGCCAAACAGGAGAAAATCAAGCAATCCACTATGAAGTTCACCTAAAAAAACAAGGTAGATCATAAAAACATAGAATTACTGAGCCAGATTGAAAATTCCCATTAGGCCCTAAGAAATTAGAAATCTCAATTAAGGTGTTCCCAAAGATAACAATCTAAACATTGTTTGGATATTTCTAATGAAGGAGAAGTAGCTACTTTCTGAGTAATTAGCTGCACTAGTGAATTAGTCCTCCAATCTTCCTCCATTCCATTTATGTATTGGCCCCATTTTATCCAGTTTGTTATTGATTTTAATGTTTTAACTTTAATGCTAAATGTTTTAATGCTTTTAATGTTCTGTTTCGTATTGTTCTTTTACAATGTTGTAGATGTTATAAGCTACCCAGAGTGTCAGGTGATGCTCCATTCAAAATTCAAGAAAGAAAACTTAGACTCTTTAGATTAGAGCAAAGATGTCTTTTACTGAAAATGAAGTGGTAACATCAGTAGAATTCTGAATCTGAGAAATAAAGCGCGCAAATCAGATATACAAAGTGATAGAATTGTTCCCACCCCCCATAATTCAAAATATTCTTTCAATTAAAAGTTCTGAATATGATCATGTGGACATCTTCAGGTGGTGATGAGGCCTCTGTCTGTTGACCTTGGCATATTTTGATAAAGGTTTGCAGCTGCGCAGAGAAAAGAAAGCCAAGCGAGAAATAGAAACCTAAGAGCAGGAATTTATACTCCCCCCGACTCCTCATTTACACAACACAAGAATATAACACCTCCAGCTCTCTTCCCAGACATTATCCCCCCTCTTCCACCCCCATTACTTATGGCAGCCAAAAGATGCAAAGCAGTAGTAGAAGATCTTGAAGGCTGACACTTGATAGTAAAATGGGCAGCATATAAATTTAATAAATAAAAATAAATAAATTAGATTTCTCATTATACTCTTGAAGAGATAAGTAAGCTAATATTAATTTTTGCAATATTAATGGAAGTGTAGCCCTTCAGCACATTTAACTACTAAAGCATCTATACATTCAATATTCAAACATATTAACAAAAACTCAATGTATAAGAAATTGAAATATTATTGAAAACTACAAAAGTAGGAAAAAAGTTCTACATTAATGTATTTTGCATATACTCTAATGTAGAATTTTTCCTTTCTTGTTCTTTCCATCCTTGAGGTATTAAAGAAGAGTCGACATATACAGGGTTTGGAAAAACTAAATTCTATCAACAAGGGCAGACTAGCGTATAGTGAAACTTTAGAAGAAACAAGCCAAACCCTGATTTTTCTTTAAACTTCCTTTATCACAACTTTCAAGAAATAAACAATATACCAACCAAGGAACTACCAGTGCAAACAAAGCTAACAGTAAACAAAGCCTAATATAAAGCAAGCCAGGAATACATAAAATATACATCCCTTTTAGCACTGATGATGTTATCTAGTTTGGTAATGAAACAATTGCAAGAAAACCACCAAGCTCAGAGAGCACTAAGAGCTCCACATGGCCGTATATTTTATTTTAATCAGTTATAGTTACCAAGAAATACTTGGAAATAGTAATGTGTTCCCGTTTATGGTTGGTGCCACAAATACTTCATGCTTAAGGAAGTATCATTTGTAGCATATGCATCATGTGTAATCATTTAGAATTCAAATACAAATTGGTATTTCTTTGTGTGACGTTTTCTATCCTTTACCGAAAGGTGCAAATTACTTTGGATTGTTAATAATGAAATAACAGTATGTCTGAAAATTCAGTCTTACCCATTATTCCACTAAGATAGATTCCATATAGGGACAAGCCTGTTGTAGCAGCATTCCAGATGGTCCCAATGACAGCATATAGAAGAATTGTCCCTAAGTTGCCAAAGAATAGCCGGTTCGGCATGAAGTATCCTGCATCTAACACAATGGGTGGCAGCAGGTAGAAGAAAAAGACTGTTGGTGTAAGGGTGAAGGAAGCAATATGATCAGCTGCGTATACAATACCACCCAGAAAGATGCCAAGGACAATGAGGAGAACGCTTTCTGGAACCACAGAGGTAACTTTACGGGACAGGTGGAAAACTGAAAAAAGAGATAAATTGCTTGAGTTACACAACAAGAAAAATAATTAACATGCACAATTTGTAATATGTTTAAAGCAGTATCTATCTGAACAGAACAAATTTCCAATCCAGACTCCTTTTACTGGGCAATTATTACTTATTCCCTTGTAGTCCCATTGCTAGATGTTATACTTTTGCTTATGGATAACATCCTTTTAAAGAATACAGAAATAACATAGTTCTTATTTAGCAGAATTGGGACTGGCAGCTCTGTCATTAAGCTCTGTCACTAAGTAGGAAATCACATGACTGCAACTGTGCTTTCCTTTTCCCACTTGCTTGCCTTTTGAAATGCTTATTAAATTGACCATGATGGTTTCCAGGCTCTCAGGCTTCATGCGCAAACCCTCAGCATTCCATTCCACCCTCCCCCACCACTCAATTCAATGGTAAGTTGAATAGCAGTACGATCCAAAAGGAGCCAAGCAGTTCAATCTTGACGGCTGGAGACTCTGCAGAAGAGTCTTGCTGTAAAGTTTGGAAAACTCAGCATAGGGAGTTTTGCCAGGAAGTATGGAAAACTCTGCATTCTGGAGTTTCACCAGAATCTCCATAGGGAGGTTGTTGAACGCCCAGGAGAAGAAGAAATTGCCTGTCCAGGCAGGAATGAAGAAAGTGTGTGCACAACAATTATGTAACGATTGGATTGAGTTCAGGGATGTGCAGGCAATCAGATTTGGCCAAATAAAGATATCTTCAAATTGTAATAAAAAGAGAAACATAAATCCTTAAAAAGAACCACTTTTGTGAAGAGTCAAGTTGCAATTAGAACATAGAATAAGATGTTGGAAGGGACCCTGGAGGTCTTCTAGTCCAACCCCTTGCTCAAGTAGGAGACTCCATTTCAGATAAATAGTTGTCCAGTCTCTTTTTGAAAACCTTCAGTGATAGAGCACCCACAACTTCTGAAGGCAAGCTTAGCTATTAGATTAGTTGATTGCTCTCATTGTTGTGAAATTTCTGCTTAGTTCTAGGTTGCTTCTCTCCTTGGTTAGTTTCCAATCATTGTGCCTTGCCTTTTGGTGCTTTGGAAAATAGTTTGACCTCCCTCATCTTTTTTTTTTCCCAAAAATTTTATTGATTTTTAAAAAACAAACATAAACAAACAAAACACAAAACATGAAAACATAAAACATCTTTTTTGAAAGCAGCTTGATCCCGGGTTACATCTCTTCGTACAGACATAAATTCAAGTTCGTGCTCACTTTCATATACCATTCCATATCTTATTACCATTCTAGATTTTCTATATAGCTTCTCCCCTCTTTTAACTCTCTTAATTCTATTTTATTTATTTCTTCTCAATTTAAATCATTATATTTATATTCTTTGTCTGTCCTGTTTCAGCTGTCTATTATCTTTTCTCATTAAAACAAAATTTCTCCTGTAATCACTGATTGGAGTATGACACCTTTATATCTTTGCCCTAAGTTTATAACACTTAATATAATACATAACTTTCATTCAGATTCTGCTTAGTACATTCTAAAGCTACACACTATATTTTAAGAAAAGAAAGAATTATAAATATATAATATAATTAAAACAACAATCCATACCAATTCAACTCTATCGTTAAAATTAATATTCATTTAAATCTTAAACACATTACTTTTCAAATAGGTATCATGTTTCCATGGGAACACTTATAAATTTTGCGTAGCTACCCCCCCCCATTTCACTTATATTTTAAAACATTGTATAATTATCATATGTTGTTCCAATTTTCTAACATTATTTCTAATACAAGTATAACAATACAATCTTATGTACCTTTGCAGAATCTCTCTCAGTTATATTTTTACCCATTATCTCTGAATAAGTCCTGTTTCTTTACATCTTGTTTCAAACCTTCATAGCTTCTCTTCCCTTCCTTCCTCCCTTGCTTCTTCACTCTGCCCTTTTTACCCCCTGGTCTCTCCACCTCTATTTCCCTCTTCTGTGTTCCCCTTTTCTGTTGCTTTCTAACATTATATCCACTTTTCACCTTGTTTTTCCCTTTTTTGGTTGTTTTTTTAGGTCTTAAATTCTCCATTCTCTTTCCCCCCTTTCCCCTTTCTTCCCCAGATAAAGTTACTTGTTCATTAAATATGGCTTCTTCTTTGTCCCACTCTTCTTGTTGCTCAGTCTTTTCTTGTAATTTCTCATAGGTACAAATCGCCATTTCTAAGAAATGAAAAATGGAGCCAAAGGACCCCTTCCCTTCTGGTTCCTCTTCTTTATATTTTTTAAATTCCATTTTCAATTCATCCACAAGTGATGCCATTGTAAAAAAAAAATTAAACAACCACTCAAGTATTTTTAATCATTCAAATATAATTTCCAAAAGTCCCAAAGTCACCAAACAATCCAAATACACACAAGCTCTTTCATTTAACACTTTCTTCTTTCTTCACTTTCTCTTCCTGGGGTTGCAATTTAGTTACAAAGTTCCAGTTAGAATGTATCTTTTAGAAGTCTTATTACAATTTAACTTTAGATTCTTTTAAATTCCAAGCAGCCTCCTCCAGCCAAATTTTAGTCTTATTCTTTTCCTCTCCCTTCCCACTTACAGCAAAAAAAGTTTTTAAGTGTTCAGAAATCTTTATTGTCCTCTTGGCATTTAATTTTCCAGTTTAATTACCTGCTGATGCCAAAGCGGTTTTTTCTGATTTCTCATTCATCTGCTGTCAACATAAGGAAGGAGAGTGAAAAAAAAACTTCCCCTTTTCACTTTCATTCACTGCTTCCAATTCTTCTTTGGGAGCGATGTATTTTTTTTTAAAAAATTAAATTCCAGGATACCTTAGTTGTTGCTTCTTATCCCGGTCAGCCAAAACTTTCACTTCTTAACTTCCTCCTGCACTTTCTTTTCCGGCTGAGTGCTTCTTTGAGGCGGCCATTTCTGACCGCCACTCTTACCGCCTTCGGAAAAGGGAGTTTAGCCAGCTGAAGAGGAGAGGTGCGGCTCCCCTTGAACCCTGCCGGATCTCCCCTGTCTTCACCACCTCTATGGGATGGCTTAGCCCCAAAGCCAAACTGGCGCGGGGCACTCCAGTGGCTAGCCCAGGCAGAAACTGCGCACGATCGCAGATTCCTGCCTGCCGCTGAAGCATTGCAAACCGGACCTCCTGACCTTCCTCATCTTTATAGGAACTGCTCAAATATTGGAACACTGCTATCATTTCACCCCTAGTCCTTCTTTTCATTAGATTATATCCAATTCCTGTAACCATTCTTCGTATGTTTCAGCCTCCAGTCCCCTAATCATTTTTGTGCTCTTTTCTGCCCTCTTTCCTGTCTCAACATTTTTTTTATATTATGGTGACCAGAACTGGTTGCAGGATTCCAATGTGGTCCTACTAACACTTTGTAAAGTGATACTAGAATTTCATGTGATCTCGGTTCTATCTTTCTATTAATGCAGTCTACAATTGCATTGGCTTTTTTGACTGCTGCCAAACACTGTTGGTTCATATTTAAATACAGTGGAACCTCGGGTTCCTGAATAGGGTCATGATTCAAAAATTGGGTGGTGAACAAACCTGGCTGCAGCAGATTCTGCACTGATTTCCCCTTCTGCACATATGCAGTCTGCACAAATTTTTGTCAGTGCATGCACAGTCGGTTGTGCTTCTGATCACGATGAAATCGGGTTGCGACCATAGTCCTGGAATGGATTATGGTTGTGACTCGAGGTTCCATTGCATTATCCACTGGGAATCCAAAATCCCTCTTGCAGTTACTGGCATGAAGCCAAGCTTCACCCGGTCTATATCTATACAGTTGATTTTGCTTCCCCAATTGTAAAACCTTACTTTTATCTAATTTTAATTATATTTTGTTAGATAGGGCCCAATGTTCACGTCTGTCAAGATCTTTTTGGATTTTAAGCTTATCTTCTGGGGTGTTGGTTATTTCTGCCACCTTAGTGTCATCTGTAAATTTGATGAGATTCCCTTCAATACCCATGTATAGATTGTTTATGAAGATATTGAAGAGTACTGGTTCTAAAACAGAACCTTGGGGTAACCCACTGCTTACTTCCTTCTATGTGGCTATATAGTAGTTACATTTAGGATTACACTTTGAATACAATTCATCAGCCAATTACAAACCACCTGGTGCTGCTGCTATCTATCCCACATTTTACTAGCTTGCCAAGATGTAGGTTGTGAACTACTTTGTCAAATGCTTTGCTGAAATCTAGATATACTATGTCCATAGTATAGTATTATAGTATTTCGCTGATCTACTAATTTGGTCATTTTGTTGAAGAATAAAATCAGATTGGTTTGGCATGATCTGGTTTGATGAATACATGTTGGCTACTGGTTTGTTGCTTGATAATCTTTTCCAAGATCTTTCCAAGTATTGATGGCAGGCTGGTTGATCTATAATTTCCTGGATCTGTTTTTTTCCCCTTTTTTGAAGATAAGGACATCAGCTCTTTTCCGGTCCTCAGATAGTTCCTCAGTGATCCAAGAACTGTGAAAGATATGTTTCAATGGTTCTGAAATTACATCTGATATTTCCTTCAGAACTCTGGCATGTAGTCTGTCAGGACCCAGTGATTTCAATCCATCTAGAGCTGACAGCTGTGTCTTACTTTATTTTTGAAAATGTTATGTGCATTACTAATCTATCATTTATGATTCTGTTTTTTGTAAGTTGAGTAGTGTTTTCTCTTTGTGTGAAGACAGATGCAAACTTTGAATTAATCAGTTCTGCTTTCTCTTTACTGCTCGTTACTTCTTTGCCATCTTCTCCTATTAGGGGACCAATTGTTTGACTTTTTTTGTTTTTTATTTGTTGAAAGAAACCTTGTTTGTTTTTGACATTTGTTATAACAAAGTCTTACTTTGTTCAATGCCTTAACTGTCCTAACTTCATCTTTGCAAGTTTGAACTATTTGTTGATATTCTGCCTTAGATATCTTAGATTACCTGGGATCCAAAATAGGCTGCGTGGAGACTCCTGGGAGGGGCGGGAGGGGCCAGCTGGTCATTGCAACTACCAGTTCGGCAAACCAGATGTAAAATTAACACCCAGTTCATCCATAGTCTACCCCTGGAGGAATCTATATATCTGAGGGTGAGAGTAATCTTCCTTTCTAGATTTCACACATACCTTAGGAACAAAGCCCAGGGTAGGAGCGCCTCAATTTGCACAGGAAAGACACACTAAAAATAGCATGTACATGTATACCCCCAAATTCACACCAAGGATAAAACCAAATCTCTGGATACCAACTCTGTAGTCTCCCATCCAAACAAATTTCTTTATTCTTCACAATGAAATGATCTCCTTTCTCACGGCATCTCTGGGTTTTATTTTTATTTTTTTTCTGGCATTGCTGATGAAACCCCAAATTATTCTTTTAACAATAGGAACTCATTTTTATCATTGTGTAAGTCTCATGTTGCAATCCTTAGTTCTCCAGTATATCTGGCCAGCAAACAAAACATTTCCTCTTAATAAGCATGACATTTATTTTTATAAGTTTTGTTCAATTATCTGTATTGTTAGTTAACATGATTTTGGAATAAACTAATTTGACCTTTATCTTGGAAAGTTGTGTTTTTTATCTTTCTGTAGATCTTTAAAGTCAAAATCATAAGGTGGTCTTGAGATGTCTCTGAAAGTTTAAATTAGTTATTGAAAGAAAATAGTAGTGTTTGTGGTGGCTGAAAGGTAAGGCTATTAAGAAATTATTTCCTCAGAATAAAACTTCCAGCTCTCTAAAGACATTTTAGGAGTGCATCCAGACTGAAGTAAGAAGTTGCTGACCTTCTAGAAAAATAGAATAGCATAGAATAAAATTCTTTATTGGCCAAGTATGATTGGATACACAAGGATTTTGTCTTGGTGCAAGTGCTCTCAGTGTACATAAAAGAAAAGATACATTTGGCAAGAGTTAAGAATCATAAGGTACAACACTTAATAATAGTCATAGCAATCAAATCATACTAGGAAACAGTCAATATAAATCGCAAGGATACAAGTGAAAAGTTACAGTCATACAGTCACAAGCAAGAGGGGATGGGTGATAGGAGTGATGAGAAGATTAATAGTGGTAGTAATGCAGACTTAGTAAATAGCTGGACAGTTTTGTGGGAATTTGTTTGGCAGAGTGATGGTGTTCAGGGGGAAAAACTGTTCTTGTGTCTGTTGTGCAGTGTTCTATAGCATCATTTTGAGGGTAGGAATTAAAACAATATTTTCACAGCCCTTTTTTTGACTCCTGCAGTATGCAGGTCCTCAATGGAAGGGAGGTTGGCAGTAATTGTTTTTTCTGCAGTCCTAATTACTCTCTGAAGTCTGTGTCTGTCTTGTTGCGTTGCAGAACCAAACCAGACAGTTATAGAGGTGCAGATGACAGACAGAATTCCCTTCCCAGAAATAAAAAACAACTTAAATACATAAATCATGAAAGAAAGTCTCTGAAGGAAAATGTTTCTTTGCAACTATCTCAAATTCCTTGAATAACTTTTGTGGCCACTAGATGCCAGTATTGAACTGATGATCCTACCTATTGTTGTGTCCAGAACTGAATACCAGAGACCGAATCTAAAGATAATTTTTATTTATTTATTTGATTTGTCAATTGCTTTCAAGATAATAGGTATATGTATAAACATGAGTAAGAATACAGGAAATAGGTACAAATAAATGGGGCCAATAGGACAGGGACGGGAGGCACGATGGTGAACTTATGCACGCCCCCTTACAGACCTCTTAGGAATGGGGTGAGGTCAATAGTGGATATTTGAGGTTAAAAGAGTGGGGGCTTGAGGATGTAACAACAGAGTCAGGTAGTCCATTCCAGACAGTGACCACTCTGTTGCTCAAGTCGTACTTTCTGCAATCAAGATTGGAACGGTTAACATTGAGTTTGTATCTGTTGTGTGCTCTTGTATTGTTGCAGTTGAAGCTGCAGTAGTCATTGACTGGCAGGACATTGTAGCAGATAATTTTGTGTACTACGCTTAAGTCCAACCGTAGGCGGCTTAGTTCAAGATTGTCCAAGGCCAAAATTGCAAGCCTGGTGATATAGGGTATTCTGTTGCGAGCAGAGGAGTGTAGTACTCTTCTCGTGAAATACTTGTGGACTCGCTCAATTGTATTTGTCCGATATACAGTGCGGATTCCAGACAGAGGAGCTGTATTTGAGTATTGGCATTGGTCTAGCAAAGGTTTTATATGCCTTAGTTAGCAATTCAATATTTCCAGAGGAGAAGCTTCGTAAGATTAGATTAACAACTCTTAAAGCCTTTTTGGCAATGCTGTTACAGTGAATTCTGGTTCTTAGATCATTAGATATGAGTACTCCAAGGTCCTTGACAGAGTGAGGGTCATTAACGAGGTCATATCTGCCTAGTTTGTATTTGGTGTACTGATTTTTTTTACCAATGTGTAGGACAGAACATTTGTTGGTTGAGATTAGGAGTTGCCAATTATTTGACTGTTCAGACACAAAATCAAGATCACTTTGAAGAACAGTAGCATTGTTGGTGGTGTTGAATAGTTTTACATCATCTGCATTGAATAGTTTTACATCATTTACTTCTCTTCAGTAGTGTCACTGAAGACTCCTTCTCCAGGAGAAGGCTTTTCTTAAGAACACTAAGCCAGAAACTTGTACAAGCAATCATTCAAAGAACAAAGTGTTTCTCAATAGGTTAAAGATTAATTCTTTCTGTCATAAGAGCTTTGAGAACAATGGATATCTGTATTTAGATACTGCCCACTGCAAAGAATCAATAATGTGGAGCCTACTATTCAGACAAGCTGAAAGAGGCTAAGGTCTCTTATAGCAGGCATTCTCAAGACAAAGATTGGCCATTTTTTTTCTGTCAACAGGTGACACTGGGTGAGAGATAAAAAAATACTAGCAATTTACCAGTTGTTGCTGTTTAACCATTTTGTCCAAGAAACAGTAAAACAATAAGACAAGTTCATGATCCAAAAAGATCTTGACAAACTTGAACAATGGGCCCTACCCAACAAAATGAATTTCATTGTGGAGAAAAGCAAAGTTTACATTTAGATAGGAAAAATCAAAGATAGTATAGATTAGCCAAAACTAGGCTCAAAAATAGTACCTATGAGAGGGATCTTGGAGTCTTAGTGGATGATCAACTAAATATGAGGCAGCATTGTGCAGCAGCAGCCAAAAAAGCTAATACAATCCTGGGTTGTATAAACAGAGGCATAGAATCAATTTCATATGAAGTACTAGTACCATTTTATAAAACCCTAATAACAGCTGGAATACAGCAATTGATTTTGGTCACCATACTGTGTAAAAGATGTTGAGATTTGGAAAAAAATTCAAAGAAGAACAACTAAGATGATCAAAGGCCTGGAGATTAAAACATATGAAAAATGGCTGCAGGATATGGGTTTGGTTAGTCTAAAGAAAAGAACTGAGGTGACATGATAGCAATATTCCAGTATTTGAGGAGCTACCACAAAGAAGAAGAGGTCAAATTATTCTCCAAAGCACCAGAGGGCAAGACAAGAAACAATGGCTGGAAACTAAACAAAGAGAGAAGCAACTTGGAATTAAGCAGAAACTTCCTAACAGTGAGGACAATTAACTAGTGGAACAACTTGCCTTCAAAAACTGTGGGCACCTATCACTGGATGTTTTTAAGAAGAGTCTAGACAGTCATTTATCTAAATTGGTATAAGTTCTCCTGCTTGAGCAGGGAGCTGGACTAGAAGACCTCCAAGGTCCCTTCCAGCTTATTCTATTCTGATAAAGGTCCACAGAAGTGCCATCTAGAGACTGACACAACAGTCATTGGTCTCATTCGAGACAACAATGAATCTGCATACAGACAGGAGGTTATACAACTTGCCTCGTGGTATAACCGTAACAATCTGGAACTGAACACACTCAAAACCCTAGAAATGGTGGTAGACTTTAGAAGAAACCCTCCCATACTACCACTTCTTACAATACTAGACAACACAGTATCAACAGTAGAGACCTTCAAATTTCTAGGTTCTACTATATCACATGACCTAAAATGGACACCTAACATCAAAAATGTCATCAAAAAAGCACAACAAAGAATGTTCTTTCTGTGCCAACTCAAAAAGCTCAAACTACCCAAGGAGCTGCTGATACAGTTTTACAGAAGAATTATTGAATCTATCATTTGCACCTCTATAACTGTCTGGTTTGGTTCTGCAACCCAACAGGACAGACACAGACTTCAGAGAGTAATTAGAACTGTAGAAAAAAGAATTACTAGCAACCTGCCTTCAATCGAGAACCTGTATACTGCACAAGTCAAAAAGAGGGCTGTGAAAATATTTGCAGACCCCTCACATCCCAGACATAAACTGTTTCAACTCCCTCCCCCAAAACGACGCTATAGAGCACTGCACACCAGAACAACTAGACACAAGGACATTTTTTCCCCAAATGCTACCACTCTGCTAAACAAATAATTCCCTCAACACTGTTCAACTATTAGAAAGTCTGACTACTATTACTGTTAATCTTCTCATCACTCCTTATCATCCATCCCCTCCCACTTGTGACTATATGACTGTAATTTTGTCGCTTGTATCCTTACGATTTATATTGACTGTTTCCTAGTATGATTTGATTGTTTATTGTACCCTATGACTATTATTAAGTGTTGTACCTGATGGTTCTTGATTCTTAATTAATGTATCTTTTCTTTTATGTATACTGAGAGTATTTACACCAAGACAAATTCCTTGTGTGTCCAATCACACTTGGCCAATAAAGTATTCTGTTCTGTTCTGTTCTGTTCTGTTCTGTTCTATTCTATTCTATTCAGTGGTTGAAAGATCCAATAGGACACAAGCCTAAGAATGGAATGCAAAATTCCAATCCAAAGAAGTGCCAAAATGTGCAATTGTTAACAAAACACCTAATTTGAACCTTATTGGCACCACCAACATAAACAAGAGGGGAGGGCCTGGGAGAAGTTACTTGGGTTACACAGGAAATCCTCAGATCTGGTTTTGCTATGCTGTAACCCCTTAGCTTCAGTAAAAGTGTACCTTTCACTATAAATGAAGTTGAGGGTCTTTCTTTCCTGAATGTCCAAGCTGGGATAGGTCTGACATTAAGCCAGATTTGCAGTAACGATCCACCTGGATACCTTCATCTACTGTGGGGACTGTGTTCAGAATGTCTAACCATGAGAACTAGCTGGAGGAGATGGAGATCTGGGAGGAAGCCACTTCAAGACCCAGGAGCAGCGGTGGCTACCCCGAGAAAGGAACAGAGATGCTAGAAGACTGAGCAAACCCCCAGTGGTCTGTAGGGATTGGGAAGATGGAGGATTGGGAGGAGAGCCCCCCCCGGAATAACCTTTGCCTGGGAAACTGCCATAGGGCACCATGCACAGAGTACGGAGTGCTTGACGAAAGCCAGACTCCCACAAGGTCATTTTTGCACAGGCAATCGATTTCCTGATAAGTTTAAAGCCTAAAATGCCCAAGAGTGGCCAGCACTATCATTAGCTTGAGCTTGACTGAAGCAGCATCCATACCTGCCATGGGTCTGACCACTGCCCCCCAGGCTCCAGTACAGAAGTTGGCAGTGGCTCCACTGGTCTAGCAGCATGGGTTGCCTCTCCCCAGACAAGAGATTGCATACCATCAGCTTTGGGGTTGGAATTCAATTGCAACCTGAAGCAATTGTCATTCTCCCTCATCCAAGTGTGGAACTACATGCAGGAATACGGGCCGGACCTGCCAAATGACCTAGCCAGGGTGTGAAATATCACCATGGCCCTGGAGAGAGAAGTGGCTGAGTGTATGGTGAAGCTGAACATCCTCAACTGATTCATGATTGTCCTGAAAAAGCAGTTTGAGGACCCACTCTCAGAAAAAATACACCAGAATCCAAATTAAGACCAACAAACAGGGGAGGTGACCTGTTGCTGCCTCTACCCAAGAGTTTGAGAGCCTGGCCTGCAAACTGACTGACTGGCCCCAAGATATCCTGACTGAGAGTTTCTAGGATGGGCTAAACAATGAAGTCTTTTACATCTGTTTGTCCTGAGATATACCATGAATGCTCCAAGGATGGTTCATACTGGCCAGTGAAATGGAGATTGTCCTGGCCAAATACCATGAACACACCAATTGAGAGCAGCAACATCCTTTTGCCCTGGAAAAGAAAACCCCAAAGCCTGGGAAGCAGGATCGTAGCCCATGCCACTGGCCTACAAATTGCTTATATTACAGCAAAGAATGGCACTATGCTGTCAATTGCCAAGCCTCCCAACCAGCACCCAAGATTGCTTGTACAATACCCTTTAGAAAGAAAAATGAGATACCCAGATGAAACTATCATGTTTACACAAGGAACTGTGATAAACTGAAAAGCAAAAAAGGCGAAAAAGACAAAAAAAATGGAAAGGACACATAATTAAGCAGAATAGCAAAAAAACCCAAAACATTTGCAAAGCTGAAATCAGGAAGGCTAAGGTTTACAATGAATTAACACTTGCAACAAATGACAAAAAAAGTTTCTTTCAATATGTAAAACAAAATAAAAGAAACAATTGGTTCACTAATGGAAGAGGTAGCAAGCGGCAAGGCAAAAGCAAAAAATGCTTAATTCCTTCTTTGTATTTGACTTTACACAAAAGGGAAAAACTATAGAAAGCAGTACTGTAAAAGGAAGATTAGGAATACTAGTCAAAGTAGGTAAATGGTAAGACAACATCTATTTAGATAATTTTAAATAACTTATCTAGGATTCTGAAGGAGATGGCAGATGTGATTTTGGAATTTCTGAATCATATCTTCCAAAAATCCTGAAGCATTGGAAAACTATCAGACAACTGGAAAAGAACTGATGTGGTTCCAGTCTTTTTAAAAAATGGATGTACAAAATATAGATCAATCAATCTGACATCAATACCTGGGAAGAACCTAAACAATCATGCAACAGATCTGTAAACACCTAGAAACAAGCAAAGCTATTATTAGAAGCCAACATGAGTTTGTTAAAACAAACAAACCAGATCATATCAGACAAATCTTATTCCCTTCTTTGACAAATTTGTGGACTAATGAAATGCTATAAAAAGTGTACTTGAACTTCAGTAAGTTATTTGACAAACTAGACCAAGTCAAAATAGGTAAGAAATTAGTAAAAGAACACTCTATCCACTTTAGACAAGTCCAGATCACCTGGACCAGAGGGTTTACATTCCAGGATACTTGAAAAAACTGGCAGATGTGATTTCAGAAGCATCGAACAAAAACTTTAAGCTCCAGTGCCAGAAGGACTGGAAAAGAGTTGATGTGATTCCAGTTTCCAAGAAGCAGAAAAAAGTGGATTAAGGAAAAAGCTTGAAATCAATACCGGGGAAACCCAGGAAAAGGTAAGTAGTGGATTTGTGAGCACCTAGAAATGCACAAGGCATTAATTGGAAATGGACATGGATCGGTTAAAAACACATTATGTCAAACAGTGCCACCACCAGATGGATTTGCAGTTGACTGACCAACCACAAACTATAAATGCAAAAAAATGGCAGAGATAACTAATCCATATGGTACAAAGAAAAATAAGAAAAGCCTAGTTCAATCACAGCAAAGAACCAAGTCTTTGAAATACTAGTGATTGAATCAGGAGGGGTATTTGTCTGGTATGGAATAAAGACTCCTGCCTTAGGCAAGGCCCTTGGACTAGAAGGCTCCTAAGTCTCTTCCAACTCTAATATTCTATGTTTTCAGTAATATAATAAAGGAATTATTAATTACAATAACTGTATCTGGATGAATAATACAAGTACTGAATATCAAAACTTGATCTATGTTTTGGTATTTAATTCTTACATCAGAGAAAAGTCACTATAATGTGTATAGTTTTTTGCACAGTAAAAGAGGAAATTGATTTGTATTAAGGTAGTTGTTTAACAATTACATGTGGGACTGGCAATTCAATTGTTCAGCAAAGAAGTCACTAAGTGAAACATGACTGTGCTTATGATCTTACTTCACCTTTCCTTTGCTACAAAGATAGTAAAAGTGGAGATTGGTTGCAGTTACCTTTTCATCATCATCATAACTGTGAACAGTTGCAGTTAGCCTACTTTTAGACATCTGGTTTGCATGTCTCCCTCTGTTC